AGTTCTGCAACATCGGTGTTTAGTGTGTTGGAGTCCTTCTGTGCTTTTTGCTCTCCTGGCATTGTTTTGGAGATGTAATTAGTTAGGTATTAGCTAGTTTGGTACCCATAAAAATGATAGGCCCTTTAGCTAATTGGAGGTCACTCCTAATGACTGAAGTCTTAGGGAGATTACCGAGTCTCGCTTGACTGGCCCTAACTGTCTTTGTCTAGAGCGAGGGAGACGGAACAAGCCAACTCTGCACCGGTCAGCCTCCTTTGCTGGAATGCCGCCCACAGACGCTTCCCACCTGAAGTGCACATTCTTCTTCCCACCAGTGGAGAGCGATTTCTATCCTTACATGCCATCTCTGTTCCAAATTAAACTTCTGAGAATTCTATATTTACATGCTGATAAATAAGAGATCGGACATACTCCTACCTAGTTTTCCAGTGGTAACATCTTTCAGATTGTAGTGTATTGGTGATGTTTCTGACATTAGGACAGTTAGTACTGTAATTAGTACAGAACATGGGGCTCAAGAGATGGCTCAGTGGTTAAGAGCACTGGCTGCTCTTCCAGAGGATCCAGCTTTAATTCCTAGCAACCACATGGCAGTTCTTAAAGTTTTTTTTTAAAAAAAGGACACAAAACATTTCTGCCGTTATAAGCTCCTCCCTTGTATTACCGTCGGTAGCTTTCTACACTCATCTTCTCCCACAGGCTTGTTTCAGAACCAGTTATCTATTTTCCTTTTTTGGGGGGGGCGTTTCGAGACAGGGTATCTCTGTGTAGTTTTGGTGCCTGTCCTGGATCTCACTCTGTAGACCAGGCTGGCCTCGAACTCACAGAGATCCACCTGGCTCTGCCTCCTGAGTGCTGGGATTAAAGGCATGCCCCACCGCCACCCGACCTATTTTCCATTTCTTTTACCAAAACCAGATATGGTGACCCATGTCAGCAATGATCTGTAATGCGAGCACTTAGGAGGTAGAGGCAAGGAATCAGAAGTTCTAGGTCTTCCTTGGCCAGACCCTGTCTCAAACCACAGTCCCAAAGCCAAAGCAAGTTTCTATACTAGGTTATTTGAAGGGTGGTAGACTCATACCGAGTAACTTCTCAAGCTGGCTGAATTTCGGAGATTCATCTAGTTGGTCCCACTTTGTGGGTACTATTCAGTGGTATAGGTATCTGTTTAACTGTTCACCCATTGAAGGACACACTGGTGGTTTCCTGTTCTTAACTATTATCAACACAACTGCTATTAACATTCATGTACATCTTTTTTGTGTGAATGTAAGTTTTTATTTCTCAAGGAAATGCCCTGGAATGTAATTACCAAGGTATTTGATAATCAAATCTTTAGGGTTTTTTCTTTTGGTTTGGTTTGGTTTTGGTTTTTCAAGACAGGGTTTCTCATTATAGCCCTGGCTGTCCTGAAATTCATTCTGTAGACCAGGCTGACCTTAAACTCACAGAGATCCACCTGCCTCTGCCTCCTGAGTGCTAGGATTAAAGAGCTGCATTTTTAGGGGTTTTTGTTTGTTTGTTTGTTTGTTTGTTTGTTTTAAAGATTTATTCTTATGTGCATTGGTGTTTTGCCTGCATGTATGTCTGTTTAAGGGTTTGAGGGTGCCACATCCTGTGAACAGGAGTCACAGGCTGTCCTGAGCTGCCATGTGGGTGCTGGGAATTGAACCCGGGTCCTCTGGAAGAACAGCCGGTACCCTCAATCGCTGAGCTATCTCTCCAGCCCCTCATCTTTAGTTTTTTTAAGAGAGAAATTGTTAAACTCTTTTCCAGAGTGGCTCTGGCATTTGGGTCTCGTTTCTTCACATCCTTACCATTGTAATATTGTCACTATTTTTTAGCCATTCTGATAAATGTGTATTTAATTTCCCAAGTGGTTAGTGATGATAAACGTATTTCATTTGTTCTTTTGACAGCTTTATATCCTCTTTGGTGAAATATCTTTTCATGATGTTTGTGTATTTGTTAATTAGAAATTTTGAGATTTTCACTGTTGTGTTTTGAGAGCCTTTTTTTAGTTTGTTTGTTTTTTCGAGACAAGGTTTCTCTGTGTAGCTTTGGAGCTTGTCCTGGAACTCGCTCTGTAGACCAGGCTGGCCTCCAACTCACAGAGATCCGCCTGGCTCTGCCTCCCGAGTGCTGGGATTAAAGGCGTGCGCCACCACCGCCCGGCGAGAGCCTTTTAAGACAAATTCTATGCACTAGTCCCTTGTCAAACATTTGAAATCTGACTTTTCTTTTCATCCTAATACGATATCCCATGATATGAAGACATTTTTAATATTGATAAAGTTTACTTCTATCTTTTTTTTCTTTCCTTTCATGATCATGCTTTTAATGTCTAAGATCTCTGGCTAATTCCAGATCCTAAAGATTTTTCTCCATTGGTTTTTCTAAAAGTTGTATTATTTCACGTTTTATGTTAAAGCCATGCTCCATTTTTAGGTAATTTTTGTATGTGAGATTTACGTTAAGGGTTTTGATTTTTTTCCTTTTTGAAGCTCCCTGGCTGCCCACGGACCATGTGTTAAGAGGGTTGTCTTTCCTTCATAGATCGGGCTTTGACATCGCTGTCAAAGATCAGCTGGGGACACGTGTGGTGTTCCGTCTGGGGCTCTGTGCTGTACCATTGGGTGATGTGTCTGCCCGCCCCCCAGTCGGTACCAGAGCTTGGATTACTGTCCTTGTCATATCGCCTACACTGACTCCTCTCCATTTATTCTTCTTTTTCAGAATTGCTTTAGCTAATTCCAGTTCCTTTTCCTTTCTATCCAGATTTTGGTATAGTATCTAATTTATGAGTATTTTTCTAGGATTTTAGTAAGAATTGTGTTCAACCTGTATTTCAACTTGGGCAAGTTAGCACTTCCTCTGTGTTGAATCTTCCAATTCACAAGCATGCTGTATTTTATTTATTTGAAGGTCTTACACCCATGCACAAGGGATAGCACTCACTGGACTCGGTGGGTTAAAAAAGGAAGACATGAAGTTGGGAGGGGCATGTGATGGTGATGGGTAGGGATGGGTTGGGGAGGGTGTGGATGAATATAACCAAAATATATTGTGTGCATGTATGAAATTCTTAAAGAATAAATTCTCTATTTTTAAAATCAGTTTTTCTTTGTCCACAGCATTAGTAGTGCTCAATATACAGTTCTTATACGTATTTTGTTAGGTTTGCACCTCTTTCATGCCCTAGAGTTTTAGTTTTGCCATTGTTCAGTCCTTATTTTTTATTTGTATGTGTGTGTAGGAGTGTGGGTACTTTCAAATGACAGGTCTGAACACAGAGATTAGAAGACAACTTTGTTGTCCTCTGAACAACTTTGCCAACAATTTTTCTCTCCTTCACCTTTTCGTGGGTTCTGGGAGTCAGAGTTAGGTCCCCATGCTTGCACAGCATGCACCTTTACCTGCCAGCCTGTCTCACTAGCCCTGGCTGTCCTGGAACTCCCTCTGTAGCCCAGGCTGGCCTTGAACTCAGCCCTCTGCCTGCCTCTGCCTCCCAAGTGCTGGGGTTGAAGAGTGTGTCACTACACCTGACTTCAGCACTCACTTGTGAGGTCCACCTCAAAGGCTCTCTGGGAAATTGTAGCACTCACTTGTGAGGCTCACCTCAAAGGCTCTCTGGGAAATTGTAGCACTCACTTGTGAGGCTCACCTCAAAGGCTCTCTGTGAAATTGTAGCACTCACTTGTGAGGCTCACCTCAAAGGCTCTCTGGGAAATCATAGCACTGTATTTGTGAGGCCCACCTCAAAGGCTCTCTGGGAAATTGTAGCACTCACTTGTGAGGTCCACCTCAAAGGCTCTCTGGGAAATTGTAGCACTCACTTGTGAGGCCCACCTCAAAGGCTCTCTGGGAAATTGTAGCACTCACTTGTGAGGCCCACCTCAAAGGCTCTCTGGGAAATTGTAGCACTCACTTGTGAGGCTCACCTCAAAGGCTCTCTGGGAAATTGTAGCACTCACTTGTGAGGCTCACCTCAAAGGCTCTCTGTGAAATTGTAGCACTCACTTGTGAGGCTCACCTCAAAGGCTCTCTGGGAAATCATAGCACTGTATTTGTGAGGCCCACCTCAAAGGCTCTCTGGGAAATTGTAGCACTCACTTGTGAGGTCCACCTCAAAGGCTCTCTGGGAAATTGTAGCACTCACTTGTGAGGCCCACCTCAAAGGCTCTCTGGGAAATTGTAGCACTCACTTGTGAGGCCCACCTCAAAGGCTCTCTGGGAAATTGTAGCACTCACTTGTGAGGCCCACCTCAAAGGCTCTCTGGGAAATTGTAGCACTCACTTGTGAGGCTCACCTCAAAGGCTCTCTGGGAAATTGAAGCACTCACTTGTGAGGCTCACCTCAAAGGCTCTCTGGGAAATTGAAGCACTGTATTTGTGTCTTTAGTTCTGGCTTCTTCAGATTCTTTCCCATTTTGTTTGGTGTAGAAAGTGGTTAAAAATAACAAGAAAAATAAAAACATACCCAGAAACAACAACAGAAAACAAGTCCCCACAGTTCATTTCTGTGAATCTGTTTTCTTTCTTGGTCTTCATTGTCTTTCATTGTCTGTTTCAGGAATGGTGGTTCCTTCCAAAACCAAAATTGTGTGCCATTTTTCTACTCTTGTGTTGACCTGTGGTCAACCACACACTCTGCAAATAGTGCCCCGAGATGAGTATGACAACCCAACCAACAATTCCACATCCCTGAGAGATGAGCACAACTACAGCTTGTCCATTCATGAGGTGAGTGCCTTCTTCTCTTTTCCATGTGCAAGAAAACTAGGGTCTGTTATGCTCACCCCAACTCTTGTCTTCCCCCGGACTTCGGAGCCATCTTGTCTTTATCTGACAGTACCTGTCTGTTTAGGAAGCGTGAGGCATAGATTAAAGGAGCCGTAGGAGGGAGAGTCCTTGGGAAGCATGTCAAGTCACTCTTTACTTCCTGTAGCTCGGCGCTCAAGAAGGAGAGAATAATGACGTTTCATTTGAGAAGTCGGTGACATCCAACCGGCAGACATGCCAGGTGTTCCTGCGGCTCACCCTGCATTCTCGAGGGTGCTTCCATGCCTGCATCTCATACCAGAACCAACCCATCAATAATGGCGAATTTGACATCATAGTCCTTAGTGGTGAGTTGAAAGCTGTGCCCTGGTCCTTCCCCAGCCCGTTTCTTCCCCTTCTGTCTGTTCTCCAACCCACCCCACAGACATTTGATATTTGAGCCGTGTTTACCTTACTGCCCGGTAGTACACTGAGTGACCATCAGTAGGTTAGTTTGTCCTCTCTTGATTCCTATTTCAAACTTTGTTCTTTGTACTTCAGAGAATGAGAAGAATATTGTTGAACGAAATGTGTCCACCTCAGGAGTGAGCATTTACTTTGAGGCTTACCTTTATAACACCAACAGCTGCACAAGCACGCCGTGGCATCTTCCTCCCATGCACATGAGCTCCTCACAGCGCCGGCCCTCCACCGCTATTGAGGAGGATGAAGAAGACTCACCCTCAGAGTGCCACACCCCCGAGAAGGTGAAGAAACCCAAGAAGGTGTACTGCTATGTGTCACCAAAGGTTGGTGCCCCCTTTCTTGCCTTAAAATCCCCTCCCTGAGTCTGTATGCCACTAACATTCAGTGACAGACACCATAAAGTGGAGTCTGAGTGTCAGTGGGGCAGAGTCATCTCCTTGCAGAGTTTCTGAGACACTAAGAGAGGCTTCCCAGTGTTGTGTGCCCCCTGCTGCTGCAGGGGTTCACTTTGTACGAGGGCAGATCTCTGCCAGACTGTGTCTCTCAGCGCCGTTGAGTACCTGAACGTTCTATCCTCTGAGTGCTCTGGGGAAGATTGTCTAAGGTGGAGCTCTCAGGATTGTGAAGAAGGCTACTTTTTTTTTGATCATTAAGAAGTCCTCAGTGGGATCAGAATCACTGTTGGCCCCCTGTGCTGTATTGCAACAATTTGATCTTTCATTCTGTGATAATGTGAAACCACATTAAATGGTTGTCAATACCAGGCTTCAAGACTGTAAGGAAGAGCTTGGCAGAGACAGGAGGGTGAACTTCCCAAGCCCTGGAGCTCAGGGCGCCTTGTTAAAGGCTTTCTTTTGACTGTGTTTTTTTCTTCATCCAGTCCTCACAAGAATGAGACTATTGGAACATCCTATTACACCCTTTAATCTCATAATCAAAGCTGGGTTCAAATTCTCTTGTGCTTTCCAATGTTCTTCTGTGTGCCATCTTTGTTTACAAATCTCACTTTCCTGTGTAGTGGAGGGTGGCAGGGATGTAACTGAGCGGGGTGAAACATTGCAGAGAATCGGCACTGAATCAGTCATTGTTGAAACCGGCCAACTGTTTCCTCCTTTAGTGTGGTTGGAAGTTTCCTGTAATGAGCATTGGTCCTTAAGTCATGAGGGAAAATGTCGGGACTGGGGTGTAGTTCAGTGCTAGAACGTGCCTGTGGCATGTGAGGGGCAGTCCCAAGCACTGAAAAAAGGGAAAACGTATGACACACATTCAGATTAAACAAACCAACCAACCTTGCACTGTCTTTTCTCCTTTTCTAAATAGCGTAAGAAGAACCTTCCTTGTCCTCTTAATTAGGTATTTAGATGACCTTCTGTGTAAGACCCCCACCATGTTTCTCTCCAGCCTTCTTCCTGACTCCCCATCCGTGCCTAGTCCTTAGTACCATCCAAATAGGAAGAAAGGGCCAGGCATGGTGGCTCACATCTATAATCTCAGTACTCAGGAAGCTGAAACAAGGTCACTGTGACATGGAAGAGCCTGAGCTGCCTCGTGAGTCCCAGTACAGTCTGGACTAGGGAGTCAAACCCTTCTCAGACCCGACCACAGCAAACCAACATCAAATGGGGAGGGAGCAGTGGGTGTGGCTCCTGTATGTGGGCGTGGGGAGTCACTGAGCAGCAAGCAGGCAAGGCAGAGAGAGGGGTCCTGCTTGTTCCAGGGCGAAGTGGTTTATGCTCATGAGGTGAGCACCCAATTCCAAGCATCCCAAAATGAGAGTCGGACCTGAGCGTTGAGATGATGACCCGGGTCTGTGGAATTGGACTGTCGAGTTTCAGTTTGCCTTGCAGATAGATTTATTTTAGTACTGACTAATTATCCTTTTGTATTATGAAAAATACAGACACGACCTTGGTATTTGCCTTGTAACACCCAGACAGGGCTCTCTTCTTTATCACACACCTCATTTTCTGTTGGTCCCCAGCAATTCTCCGTGAAGGAATTCTACCTGAAAATCATCCCCTGGCGCCTCTACACCTTCCGAGTGTGCCCTGGAACAAAGGTAAGTTGAACTTTTGGGCTCAACTTTGGGGTGGTCAGACTTTTTTTTTCTTTTTGAGGGCTTTCATTGTTTCTGAAAGTTCTCTCTCTCTTCGTTTCCAAACAAAGAAGTTATCCCTCATTGAATGCCATGAGTATTCAGGGAGTGTGCTGTGGAAACTGCCTAGTTTGTACCAGTAGCGATTCAGAGTACTCTCGAGTGCCGCCTTCTGGCCTCAGCGGCCTCTCACAGGTGTGCTCGCTCTGCTTACGTGCGCTCTCTGCTGCGGAAGCTTGCTTGTTCTACGCTTGTTCTACGCTGAGAAGGAGTGTTCTCATGTATTAAAAAATTCCTCTTTTTTATTTTTCTACTTGTGTTTTTTAATTGTTCTGGGCCTAAATCTAAGCTTTGCCCCAGAGGCTTGGGTATATTGTTTATGAAGATCACTTTCTCCAGGCCTTTTGGAATAGAAGTTGCTCCTTCTTAAACCTCAGTGGAAGGTCTGCAGTGTTGCCCAGGATCCTTACTTAAAGGCAGTTTTTTCTATGACTCAAATAAGTTCAGTAGAACTTGAAAAGGGACCAGCAAGATGGCTCAGTGGGTGAAAGTCCTTGTCAACCAAACCTGACCACCTGAGTCGATCTCCAGAACCTGCGTAAAGAGCCGAATGTGGTGGCACGTGACCCCAGTGCTCTGTGGCAAGATGGGAGGCAGGGACAGGAGAATCACTTGGGTGCTCAAAAGCCAAGCAGCCTAGAGTATTTAGCAAGGCAGAACCAACTCCTGAAAACTATACCCCCCTACACAGCATGGGTACACACACTAAAAACGACAAAGAGACAAACAGACCTGTACATTGTAGAGCATCGGGAAGGGCTGGCAAGATGACTCAGCAGCTAGACGTGCAAGCCAGGTCTAGTGGCCAGAGTTCATCCTCCAGACCCGTGTGGTGGCAGAAGAGAACGATGCCCGCAGGCTGGCCGCTGACCCTGTGTGCTGTGTGGCACATGCACCTGTACACATACACATACACACGCACTAAATAAAGGTATGAGATAAACGAGATAGACTCCAGGCAGGTACTTATTTACAAAAAACAGCAGTGCCTTGTTTTTGTTGTTTGTGTAGCAGAGTAAGCATTTGAAAGGCTTTGGTGGAATTAAGGGATTTATAGATGAACTTAACCACTTTCTAAATTTTCTTTGCTAGTTTTCATATCTTGGCCCCGATCCTGTTCACAAGCTCCTCACACTGGTGGTGGATGATGGTATTCAGCCTCCCGTGGAGCTCAGCTGCAAGGAAAGGAACATTCTAGCTGCCACTTTCATCCGCTCCCTGCACAAGAACATCGGTAAGGGCGGGGAGGCAGTGGACCACGAGGGCGTCGAGCTGGAGAGCAGTGCTCCTCCGCATGTCTGTAATAAGTCTTGATGAACTTTGCTGCTCCTCAGGAGGCTCTGAGACCTTTCAAGACAAGGTGAACTTTTTCCAGCGAGAGCTTCGGCAGGTACATGTGAAGAGACCTCATTCCAAAGTCACCCTGAAGGTCAGCAGACACGCCTTGTTGGAATCGGTAAGTAAAGTCTCATCTTTATATGCGAGTTCTCCAGCTAAGGACCTCTTCAGTATTTGACTGTATTCTGCAATGCGTCCTTTTAATGAACCATAAACTTCTCCCTTTAAACATATTAGGGACTTATTCGTTCTTTCATTGTATATACTTTATTATACTGGGTTGGAGCACTGTGTTGGAAGCATGCAGCGGAGGGGAGACTCAGGACCCCGCAGTTTTCTGGTCTGTGCTGACGTAGTTCCTGGACAGTGTAGGGGTGGAAGTAGTGCTTAGAGAGGCGGCCTGTTAGTCACGCCTGGGTAGAAGGAAGAAGTCATTCTTGTTGTCACTCTGGGCTGCTAGACATGGAACACCTGATGAGTGTGTGTCTCCACCACACAGACATTGGCATGGTCTGACATTCCCTAAGAGTGAGAAGGCTTGGTGCCTGTCCAGAAAGTGTTTGTGGTGTTTGGCTCTGGTAGGTGTGCCTGGAAACCCCCTTTCTCAGCCACACTCCATGTGGATGGCTCCCTGTGTGGGCCTTGCCTGGTGGTGGATAGTCTGTACTTTACTGAAAACCAAGACTCCTTAAGCTCTTTTGTTTATAGCTTATCACTTACTTGAATCTTTTTGAAGAAAACTTTTCTGTAAGGGGTTTTTCATTAATAAAGTGAAGTTTATAAAAAAAAAGAACAGAAAAAAATTTTAACTATCAAATTCCAAATTAAATGGTTTTGTGTGTGTGTGTGTGTGTGTGTGTGTGTGTGTGTGTGTGTGTGTATTTGTTTTTTCTCCAGTGAGAAGTTGTCACAGTGTAGACCAGGCTGGCCTTGAACTTGTAGTCCTCCTGCTTCAGCCTCATGTTTGCTGGGATCATCGGGGTTTGCTTCTATATTTAGATTTTTTTTTTTTTAATTTTGAATTTCTCTTGGAGATTTGTATATTTACATATAAGATGATGTCACTAGAGCCAGGCAGTGGTGGCACACGCCTTTGATGCCAGCACTCGGGAGGCAAAATCAGGCAGATCTCTATGAGTTCGAGGTCAACCTGGGCTGCAGAGTGAGGTTCAGGAAAGGCGCGAAGCTGCACAGAGAAACCCTGTCTCTGGGGAAAAAAAAAGATGATGTCACTAAAGCATACTTATGTGTCATACATCACCTGCATGTAGTGCTTGGCTTAAGGAGCAGTGGTGGCGCTCTTGGGGTTGGTCTTTAGCAGCTGAGGGATGCTAGCCAATGTTCTGACAGCTTCCTTCCTCTCTGTTTTAGTCTTTGAAGGCCACTCGGAACTTTTCCATCTCAGATTGGAGCAAGAACTTTGAAGTGGTTTTCCAGGATGAAGAAGGTTGATTTTGAAATTTCATTTTACCATTTTAATTCTCCTTCCTACTCCCACACTCTTCAAAAAGTCCCAAACAGCCCCTCCACCCCCAAAAGACCCAGCTTCTATGAGTCAGGGAAGAAGCCTGGCTGCATGGCGTGGGGGAGCGTGGAGAACAGACATGTGGGTGAGCTCTTAGAGTTCACACGAAAAGGACAAAATAACCACTGCAGATCCCAGAGTGTCCATTTCCTGGGATCTCTGACCTTCTCTGTTCCTGTTAGCGTAGTGATCAGAATACCTTGAATTCTACAGAAGGAAGTAGGGTTCCAGAAACTGTCCGCCGTGCAGGCGAGCTCCAGTGAAGAGCCAGGGAGTGGAAGAGAAGGGGTGTGAGCGTGTTAAGTGGTCACTAAAGGAAGGGAAGTAGCAGGAGGTGGTGGAAGCCAGCCTCACTTTTAATCTTCATTATACTTTTCAGCTTTGGATTGGGGAGGGCCTCGCCGGGAGTGGTTTGAGCTGATCTGCAAAGCCCTGTTTGATACCACCAGTCAGCTCTTCACCCGGTTCAGTGACAACAACCAAGCGCTAGTGAGTGTGCCTTCCCGGAGGGGGTGGGGGGTGGGGGGGGGCTGGGGGGGTGGGGGCGGGAGCCTAACCGAGTGCACAGAGCTTCACACAGCTGACCTGGGAGTCCTGACAAGTTGTGTTTTGTGTTTTGCTCTTAATTTGCTGTTAGTAATGAGCTAATCAAGTTGCCTCCCTTTTATTTGGCTCCATTATTTCATCTGTAAATAGGAAAAAAATAGTAGTTGAGCATTTGGCCGAGAGCATTATATTGTAATGGCTACTTTACTCATTTATAATAATGAAGCTATTTTCTAAAGAAAGATGCCTAAGGCAGTTGGTTTCTGTATTAGATCTTTGACTAGAGGTGTCAGAAGTAGAGCACCTGACTGTGGTTCAATAAAGTTCTCATTTAGGGACAGGCATCATATCCCTGTACTCAAATCATCCTGGGACCACAAACTAATCTAAGGTTCTTCAGCAGCCATCCTCCAGTCACTTTCAATTACTCAGTTGTCTGCTCTGTGATCCTTAAACTGAAATTTTATTCCCTTGGTGGAGGGTATGAGCCCGATTTCCATTGCTGTAATAAATGCCTGAGACAATGAGCACATGAAGAGAAAACATCATCTCTCTGCAGAGTTCTAGAAGTTTCAGTCCCTGGTTGGTCTGCCTCGTTGCTTTGGTCTGTGGTGAGGCAGCATATCGTAGTGGCAAGAGTATGACAAGATCGTCCATCTCAGGGTTGGGGCATGGAGGAGAGAAGGCCACCAGGCAGCTCTCTTCCAGGGCATACCCCAGTAACCTGAACCCATTGATGGCACTCTGGGCACCTTTGGGACATTCCAGGTCCAAACTGTAGTACATTGCATTGGGAGGGAGGGTCTTTCCAGAACTAGGATGGATGGAAAATGGTCCAAGGCCTTTCCATTTCTTTCTTTGACAGGTGCATCCTAACCCTAATCGCCCAGCTCACCTGCGTTTGAAGATGTATGAGTTTGCAGGGCGGCTGGTGGGCAAGTGTTTGTATGAGTCCTCTCTAGGAGGAGCTTACAAGCAATTGGTCCGTGCCCGGTTCACTCGGTCTTTCCTGGCCCAAATCATTGGACTCCGTATGCATTACAAGGTAACATCTTAGGTGTGCATTTCCACTAAGACAGTCTGGCCAATGCCTCTGGAATCTTTCCATATGAGCTGATTTTCTAAAGTATTTTTTCCCTTTTACTTATTTTTAAAAAATATTTGTTTATTTTTATTCTGTCTATATATGTGTTTTGCCTGCATGTATGTACATACACCAGATGCATCCCTGGTACCCACAGAGTCAGAAGAAGGTGTTGGATCCCCTGGAACTGGAATAGCAAATGATTGTGAGCCTCTATGTGGTTGCTGGGAACTGAACCCCGGTCCTTTGGAAGAGCAGCCAGTGCTCTTAACCACTGAGCCAGCTCTCCAGCCCCCTGGCCTGATTATTTTTAAGACTGAAGATGTAAGTGATGTCAAGCAGTTAAAATTTCATTCGTGGTAAAAGAGTTCATGTGCTTCTTCTGTGTCTGCCTTTCTCCTCAGTACTTTGAAACAGACGACCCAGAATTCTACAAGTCCAAAGTTTGCTTTATCCTCAACAATGACATGAGTGAGATGGAGCTGGTCTTTGCAGAAGAAAAATATAACAAATCAGGTCAACTGGATAAGGTGATAAAGACCACGAGGAGTTATGGGTCCCCTACGCCCCTGGCCCCTCTAAAACAGGACCAGTAGGACTTTGTGCAGGGAAGGAAAGACGGCAGAGCGACCAAAGTGTCATTGCACAGGCCGGCTGGGGAGGACGACTGTGTCAGTGATTAGCAGTTGGGATGTAGGTGGCTGATGCTTCATTTAACACAGTGTCTGTACGTTGTAAAATCCTCGTGTTGGTCTTGTTGGGTTTTTTGTTTGGTTGGTTTGGTTTTTTGAGACAGGGTCTCACTGTGTAGCTCAGGCTGGCCTCCTGAGTGCTGAGATTACTGGCCAGATATATTTTTGTTGCAAATGTGCTTTTGTTACATTGTGGAGTTATGAGATATCAAATGATAATAATGAAGCTGGTCATAATAATAATAATATATTACTAAACTTCATTAGGTATGATACCACCACTGCAAAACTAGTTAACAATATACAATTAAAAGGAAAGTAGCAATGACTGAAAAGATGTGGCAGCTGGGTATGGTGGTACCTACCTTTAATCCCAGCACTTGGGAGACACGTGCAGGCAGGCAGATCTCTGAGTTTGAGGCCAGCTTGGTCTACATAGAGAGACCCTGTCTCAAAAAAACAAAAAAACAAACAAGCAAAAAAAAAAAACAAACAAACAAAAAAAAAAACCCAGAACTAAACACTACTGAAAATGATTGGAATGCCACTTTTCTGTCTTTGTTCTAGTGAGGTCTGTACCTGGCTTCCTGAGCTGGTGTAACGAGCTGCAAGTGAACAGAACCTTAGGTCACAGTCCTTGCCCTGGGGACAGCAACAGGTTGTTCACCAGCGGGATTCTCAGTAGATTAAGACAGTAGAATTTTTTTCTATAATTATAGATACTATATTACTCCTATAATTTGGTGTGGTTTTTGTGAATAAGCATTTCTAGCTGTGGCCTAAAAAGTGTTGTTAAGATTTATTGTTCACATCAATGCACTTAAAATGGAGGCGTTCATTCCCTTATGGAAACAACTCTGGTTTCCATACACAGGATCTCCAGGTCATTGTTCTCACTGCTTGGGACTTCTTCAAGTGCCCCTCCGTTGTTGTTTATTGGGGTGTGTGTGTGTGTGTGTGTGTGTGTGTGTGTGTGTGTGTGTGTGTTTACTAATTCTGTTGGTGACACAAGAAGCTTGTTCAGCTTTTCTTTGCAGAGAGACAAATGGAGGAACACGTAGTTATTGGACTGAAGTTCTGTTAGTAGCAAGTTAGTATCGTGGCTGGAGTTTGGAAGCCAGATTTCCGTCTGCAGCCATTGTTCTTTCCATTTGTCTGCTTGGGAGGTAGAAGAATGTGTGGGAACAAGTGTTTCCGTCTCAGAATTTCAGAGCTATGAAAGAGCTTCTTTGGAAAAGGTCATCAGTGGGTTAGTTGTAGGGGAGGGATTCAGCTATTGCTAACACACACAACATCTTCCTGGGCCATCACCGCTGCTCCACTGCATGGGAGAAGACCTCGTGTAGCACCCACTTTAGAAATCAGCTAGCAGAGTGTGGAAGAAGCGCTGTAAGCCCTGAAGGTTAGTGACAAAAGGTAGAGGCAAGTGTGTTAAGAAGCCAAATGCAGATTAGGAGCTTGAGGCCGGCACTGAGGGAGTCCAGTTCCGCTGCTCGTGGGACACTCCAGGCTGAGACATCGTACAGTTTCCTAGCCACAACCTCTCCTTGTCTTTTGCCTCCTGTTTCAGGTTGTAGAACTCATGACAGGTGGAGCTCAAACCCCAGTCACCAATGCAAATAAAATCTTCTACTTGAACTTGCTAGCCCAGTATCGGCTGGCCAGTCAAGTGAAAGAGGAGGTGGAGCATTTCCTAAAAGGTGGGACCCTGTCTCCTTTTGCTGAAGATGTCTGCGTCGTCGTCGTAGTTGCCGGTATGGCTTTAACTTGGACACTTTTGTTTCAGGCTTGAATGAGTTGGTTCCTGAGAACCTCTTGGCTATTTTTGATGAGAATGAGCTTGAGGTAAGTGCTTAGGATTCGGACCTATTTTGTTCTGTGTTATTTTCATTTCCTTGTGTGGAGAGACACCCAAGTGCATGTCCCACCTGTGGGGATCAGAGGGCCACTTGTCGACTGAGCTCTCTCCTCCTCCACACGAGTCTGGGTTGGACACGAGTGGTCAGGCTTGGTTGGTAGCACGTGCCTTTACCTTCCTAGCCGTCTCCGTCTCACCAGCCCCACGACTGCTGCTCTCAGAGCACGCCTCATGGGCTCCTGCTGGCTGTATCTTCTGTTAGAGGTGTGGCAGGAAAGTCTGTCCTTTCTTTTGGGGGGGCTAAAGGGTGGGACAGAGTCTCACTATGTAGCCAGAAAGTCTTTTTTATTATGCAAAAGTTGGATTCACCTTTTAAAAATTTTTATTTTATTATATGTGTCTGAGTCTTTTGCCTGCATGTATGTCTGTGTACCACATGTGAGCCTGGTTCCTGCAGAAGCCAGAAGAGGATGTCGGATCCCTTGGAACCTGAGTTACAGACAGTTGTGAGGTGCCATGTGGATGCTGGGAATAGAGCCCAGGTCCTCTGGAAGAGCACCCAGTGATCTTAACCGCTGAGCCATCTCTCCAGCCTGTGTCCACTTTTGTTACTCTTCTGTTCATTGACCCGTTCTTCAGCTTTTAAAAATTAGAACGTCAAAAGTCAGAAAACGTCAAGTGTCTATGAAGAGTGGTAGTTAATATTTATCCATTAACTACTATTGATATTAATCGACTAGTAAGGAGTATTGACATCATGTGCAGTCTTCATAATGTCTTATGACATTTAAGGGGATTATAGAATGTATTCAGGAATATGTGAACTGTGAATTGTGTACTGAGATACCAGAGAAATCGCAATGAAGAAGCTAGTCTCTTATGGACTATATGCTAGTGAAAGAGACATCCCACAAGATGGGATTACATTTAGGGTTTTGACCATAACCACCGTGTGTGTGTGTGTGTGTGTATACGTGCGTGTCTGTGTTACTATTTCACATTTTTTTTTTTAAGATTTATTTATTTATTATGTATACAGTGTTCTGTCTGCAAGTATGCTTGCCGGCCAGAAGAGGGCACCAGATCTCATTACAGATGGTTGTGAGCCACCATGTGGTTGCTGGGAATTGAACTCAGGACCTTTGGAAGAACAAGCAGTGCTCTTAACCTCTGAGCCATCTCTCCAGCCCCTATTTCACATTTTGAATCAATTAAAAGTTAGCTATAAGATAGTAGATACTGGGGCTGGAGAGATGGCTCAGAGATTAAGAGCACTGGCTGTTCTTCCAGAGGTCCTGAGTTCAATTCCCAGCAACCACATGATGGTCACAATCATCTGTAATAAAATCTGGTGCCCTCTTCTGGCATGCAGGGATGCAGGCAGAACACTATATGCATAATAAATAAATATTAGAAAAAAAAGAAAAAAGCAAATACCATTTTTATAGTTAGCTGAATTAAAGTCCTTATGAGTCAAGGACAAAACAAAGTGGCGGGAGGGAGGGAGCTGGAGAGATGGCTCAGCGGTTAAGAGCACTGGCCATTTTTCTAGAGGACCTGGGTTCAATTCCCAGCACCCACATGGCAGCTGACAACTATCTGTAACTCCAGTTCGAGGGGATCCGACACCCTCACACAGACATACATGCAGGCAAAACACTAATGCACATGACATAAGAACAAATAAAGTTAAAAAACACTAACAGCAGCAGCAGAAAACAAAGTCAGTTTGTCTTTCCTGCTGTTGCTCCTCACAGATGATACATACAGTAAAGTTATAATTTTTAACTTCCCATAGCTTTTATGAGGAGTTCCTTTCTGCAAACTGTTTCCCGTTAGAAATCTTTTCCCAGCACTTAGGAGGCAGAGGCATGAGGATCCGTTCCAGGCCAGCCTGGTCTACAGAGGGAGTTCCTGGACAGCCAGGGCTACAGAGAGACCCTGTCTTGAAAAACAAAACAAAACAACAAAAAGATAAAATTCCTTTAAAATTGTAAGGAAAACAATTAGTGTGAGTGTCAGGTGATGTTGTGTAATTCTTTTTCTTGTTAGCTGAACTGTCAGAGGACAGTCAGAGCCTTCCATTAGTCTATCACTTTTTGTGCTTTGAGATATAAAATCCAAACAAGGAACTCTCAGTCTCAGATTTCTCATAGAACTCTTACCCAGTGCTGGTATTTGGGACACTGGAGTGTTTTGTTTTTCATGAGCATTGGTAACAGCATATGAAGGAAAGCTGCAGTCTTCCGGTTGCTCCTTAGCCTGCTCCTAGTTACTCGTTAGCTTGGCATGGTCTCGAAACGAAGCTTCCAGGGCTTCGTTGGCCCTCTTTTGTCTCTTTATTAAGAGATTTCATTCCTTATAGCTATTGGAAGGATACTCATAGTCTGCTAAGTAACGTGTTGGATCTTGAACCAAATTAGGACATCAACAAGATGTTTAGGGCTCTGAAGTCATTGATGTTTCTCTCTCTCTCTCTCTCTCTCTCTCTCTCTCTCTCTCTCTCTCTCTCTCTCTCTCTGCATACCTTTTAATTTATCTGTTCAACTGGAGGCAGAGCTAAAGGGAAGTAGTGAAAGTTCAGTCCACCAAAGGAGAATAGATAGATCCTGAGAGAAAATACTCATAAACGGGGCTGGGGATTTTCATCAAAGGGAAAGGACTTGCCTTTTTTCCTTGGCATTCCTTTGCTAGAACATATACTTAGTTCTTTTATTTCTTTAATTTTTTCTTTTAATTACAAGGAATCCATAGCAATTCTTAACTAGGCATGCTCACCAGAAACACCTTTTCAGTTGCATAAGCTTTTTTTTTTAAAGATTTATTTATTTATTATGTATACAGTGTTCTGTCTGCACATATCCCTGCAGGCCAGAAGAGGGCACCAGATCTCATTACAGATGGTTGTGAGCCACCATGTGGTTGCTGGGAATTGAACTCAGGACCTTTGAAAGAGCAAGCAGTGCTCTTAACCTCTGAGCCATCTCTCCAGCCCCCCAGTTGCATAAGCTTCTAATCCAACTCTAGAGATATAGATGTAGTAGACCTAGGGCTCAGCTACAAGCATATCTGTCTGCCTTTCTTTGTAACTGAGTCTGTGACACAGGCAGATCTAGGGCCCACAGCCCCTAGCAGCTGTATCAGAGGCCAGAGCAGTCCTAGGGACCCGGGGGAAGACATTGCCCACCACCTGCCAAACCCCTTTAAGCCTGTCCGACAACCCTAGACTGCATCTACCCCTGGGCCCCATATCCAGGCCCTTTTTTTGTTTTGTTTTGTTTCTTTTAAAGACCACACTGCTTAGGAATCATTGGCTGATTGCAGTTTATTCTGGCACTGTGATCTCTTCTGTCTTTCTCCTGGTGTTCCTTTTATTCTGCATTTCCATGTCAATAGGTAACTGACTAGTGTGTCTTTGTCCTTCTGTCTGTCTTTTTAGCTGCTGATGTGTGGGACTGGAGACATCAGTGTAGCTGACTTCAAAGCCCATGCTGTAGTGGTTGATGGCTCCTGGCATTTCAGAGAAAAGGTAATGGGCTAAACTTTCTACAGTTGGATTGGTATCATCTTGTGAGGAAAGGTTTTAGAAGAAAAAATTAGAGGAGTCAAAGAAGTTGACATGTTGACTGGCACAAAGGGGTTCATGTGGGGAAAACAGGTGGTTACCCAAGCTGAAAGGAGCCTGGGTCCCTAAACTGTTGCATTGACTGCCACTGGGGCCGTAAATGGGAAATGCAAGTAAACAGAGCCAAGCAATCAATTGGTGATTGCTCATCTGACCCTGTGACAGTGTCAATTCTTACAGAGGTAGTTATTCATGCCTCATAGAACTGTAAATGGGAGCATGTGCCTACCCAGAGTATCCTGTTCCTTCCGTAAGGATCAACTCCTTAGGATCAAATGCTGCACACCCTGTGTGACCTTGTCCTTCCTGCCAGGTCATGAGGTGGTTTTGGACTGTGGTTTCCAGTCTGACCCAGGAGGAATTGGCTCGGCTACTTCAGTTCACAACAGGCTCCTCTCAGCTTCCGCCTGGAGGCTTTGCTGCCCTCTGTCCCTCATTTCAGATTATCGCTGCTCCGACCCACAGCACTCTTCCTACTGCACACACATGGTAGGTGTCTGGCTGCCCAAAGCATCCCTGGTGGGAGAGTCTCTTTCTAGCCCTTGCTCATGTTTCTTGTAGTGTGAATTAATCATTTTCCTTCTTGTTCTTCCAGTTTTAACCAACTGTGCCTCCCTACATATGACTCATATGAAGAGGTACACAGGATGCTGCAGCTGGCCATCAGTGAGGGTTGCGAGGGCTTTGGCATGCTCTGACCGCTCCTCTGCCACCTGCTTGGCTCATACTCTCTAGAGCATCTGGGTACATGTTACCAAGCATAACCACTGACCTTAACACACATACCCATTAGCCAGGAGAGACTGCATGCTCCCGCGTGTCTGGAGTATTCTGCCATCTACAAGCATTGTTCTTACCTCACCCACTCTGTGTCCACATTTACCACAGGCCATTTGGGCACGTGGTACCTATCTGAACACCACTCAGTCATGAGAAAAGGACCATGCTGCTGTCATTTCATTTGGTCCTTTGAAGATCTCTGTAGCTGGATCTGCCTCAGTGGCTGGGAGAGATGGATGACATGGAGGACTCAATTCTGTTGGAAAGCTGGCATGCTGAGACCCTTAAGCAATGCCTTGTTCCAGCACCCTCTGCTCTTTGGAAATCCCTTCTTGATCTCACTTCTTGACCAGACTGGTACATGATCCCTTCTCCTGGACAACCCATCACCTCTTCTCATCAGTAGCCAGGAGAAGCACAGATAGAAAGTGGCCGGCACAGGCCATAGCACTGATGGGGACTGATAGTACTTCAGGTCTCTGTGGTGACAACTGGAGAAGACACTCCTTGGGGGCATTTTTGAAGATGATCACCACTCCATAAAGACTGTGCTAAGCTTTCTCCTGAGCTTGAGCCGGTGAGAAAAACAGTGAGAAGAATGTAAAGGGTGGCTGTGCCGTGGCCTCCCGTGCTGGCTGCGCTTCTCTCGGGGAAGGGCCGTGTCCAGCCATGTGGACGGCTTGAAGACTACTGATGCATTTCTCTGAGCTTGCTGTTTGCACTGACGGACGACGCGGCATGACCACTGATCTCCAGTTTATGTGGTCTGTTAAGAGCTGTCTTTAACACTCCGCTGGAAGAATTTTGGGAGCAAAGGACTGGGACAGTAAACATAGGTTGCCAACTCTTTGGTGGTGGTCTCTGGTAGCACTGAGGCAGAAGAACTGTCGTCACAGGTCCTGGGTCAGGCCACTGGGGATAGACATGGTGGCGATCCAGCAGCAGTCAATACCTAGCAATTCCAGGTACTTGGTTTCATCAGTTTCAGGAAGGGGAATCAGGAGGGAGGAAGCTATATTGGGTTCACCATTATGTGTGATCGAAGAGGACTTGTCAGTCTCTTGGAAGATGATGACATCTCTTTTCATTAGTGTTTGAATGAAAACAACATAAGACTCAAGATCACATGGACTTCCCAGTTTCTGTCTTTAACAAGGCTTTGCTACAAGCTCCCGTTTCTGATGGGGTACTCACTCAGAATATTACAAGCCATCTCTATTGCCAAAACCAGCAGGTACACAGAATCCCGAGGCAAGGCAGTTCTTATGACTTGGCCTCCTGGAAGTATGTCTGAGCTCTCCTGTTCCCAGGGATCATGAGAAACAAGCCCTCCTGAGCTGCTAGAATTCCTACCTGACCTCCTTTGCAGTCATTATTTGTCCTTTGTTGGCGTGGGCGCTGACCTCACTTCTTGGGGTTTAGGACCTGGCATCAGGGCCTCTACACCCCAGGACCCTCCATGCCACATGGTCACTGCTCTCCTCAGGGACCAGGACAAGGTGCTGCTGCTTGCCCACATTTTCCCCATGGAACGTGTCCAAGCTGGTTTAGCCATCCCCCTGCTGCCTCTCAGGCCTCCTCTGGGGCTTCCAGCTGGGGTACATGGGCTGGCTTGGCTCTTTGGGGCAATTGTTCCTGTCCTGGATTCTGTAATCCCGGCTCCAGCACCCCTCTAGAGATTACCAGGGGGGTTGAGTTTATATTCTTGGCTAGACCTATCATTTTAGGCTCTAGTTATAGCACTTTTTCAGTCTCCTAGGCACCGGAGTCTCTAACAACAACAACCCTTTAGTACTGTGTGGTTTTCTATTCCAGTGTACTCTCTCCCGACTATTCAGAAGCAGTTTGGCTCTCTTTTGCAGTTTCTTTTACCTTTTTTTCTAATACTGCTTTGGCATTAGCCAGTGTGGGGAAGACATACAGAATGTTGGAGAGATTAAAAAAAAAAAAAAAAAGATGTGTTATTTCTTGGGCAATTTTCTATTCCTAGTCCTTATTTAGCCAGTTCTTCTGTTAATGCTTTGTGACATAGGCCCTTGGGAGGCTAGCTGCTCCCCTGGCTTTTGGCTTTTCAGTGTCCTTGAAGGAGACAAGTCATGAAATGAAAACCAAGAGGATGTCGGTGTGGTTCTAGAAAGTTGGCAGAGACCGAACTCTGCTGCACATTGTCAGGCCCGGTCTGGACGTCTGCAGCTGGAGATGTAAATATTTTGTACAGTAAATAAAACACCTACAGGAAGCGAGCACTGAGTGACTGTTTGAGTAGGAGCGGGGAGCAGAACTTAAATGGAAGATGGGGAGGAAAATGTTCAGAGAGGCTTCTCTGTGTTACTGGTGACCCCCCTGGAAGCGGGAACAGTCTGCTGTGGAGAGTGTGTGCACTTGGAACCCTGGCTATAGATACCAACCCAGTGGGAAAGGCTTTGTGCTCAGGGCCTGAGGAGAAAGCTACTTTGATATGACCAAAGGAAATCTATTATAATCTTTAAACATTAATTTGTTGTTTTCTGTATCAGAAGGTCAATAGTTAAAAGAGGGGGCTAGGCCAGGTGACGGTGGCGCATGATTTTAATCCCTGCACTCGGGAGGCAGAGGCAGGCGGATTTCTGTGAGTTTGAGGCCAACCTGGGCTACGGTTCGAGATCCAGGACAGACACCAAAGCTACACAGAGAAACCCCGTCTTGAAGAAAAAAAGGGGGGTGGGGGAGGGTGGGTAGAGAGATGGCTCAGTGGTTAGGGATGCTTGCTGCTGTTACAGGAACCTGGCTTTGGTTCCTGGCGCCTACGCTGGGCAGCTTATAACCACCTGTAGCTCCAATTCCTGGGGATCCAGGGACCCAGGATGTCTGTAGGCATCTGCACAAACATGGTGCACAGGCACATACATTTAAAAAAATAATCTTAACAGTTAAAGCAAGGTGGGTGTGGTAGTTCATGCCTGTAGTCCCAGCTACTTGGGTGGCTGGGCTAGGAGGATCACTTGAGCCCAGGAGTTTGAGAATGGCCTGAGTAACACAGTGAGACCTTGCCTCATAAAACAAAAACCCTTTCAGTGTCAAACAACAACAACAAAGCCCCAAACAAAATAGTAAAAGAGGAAGTATACAGGGCTAAGTCACCCACCCTCCAGAGGTAAACACTGTTAACACTGACAGCCCTCAGGTTTTCGTGGTTACATATTTAGCTGCCACCACCATCCTTGTGCTATTTCCATTGGGTCTTCACAGCTGGTGTTAAGAATTCTCTGAGACCGTCTTGGTCCCATGAGAATCCAGCCCAGACTCCTGGTGCTGAACCTGATTAATCGTATGTTCTGAGACTGCTACTTGGATAATCCTTGGCGTTTATGACCTGTTTGTGGCCTGATCTGACATGACCGTAATTCTCTGTGACAGTCAGTGGGACATTATCAAGTAGCATATAAGTGTGGTATTAATGACTCAGCAGTCGGTTATCTCCAAACGTGTCAACTGCACTGGTATTTCTGACTCGGTAGCCCTTTTTTTTTTTTTTTAATTTGAGACAGGCTGGCCTAGAATTCACAGGTTCTCCTGCCTCTCCCTCCTGAATGCTAGGAATAAAGGTGTGTGCTGCTATGCTTGGCTCCAGAACTCTGTCTGAGCATGGGTATGTTTCTTTTCGGAACCCAAACTTGGCATTTTTGGTTTATCTCCTGAAGATTAGTTTAGACATAGAATCCAGACATTAGGCCACCAGGGCTTCCTGCCTGCCTCACACTTACTTGGTACTGGGTGTGACAGATGAACACTTTATACCTTGGTTTACCTATTAGTCACTGTGATCTGGGTTGATGAAGAGAAGGCCCTACTCCAGGTTGGAGAGAATTTAAGAGGTGCAAGCGAATAGTGGTCATGGCTTTAAAATCTGCATGGAGAAACTTTTGTAGAACTGTGAGCTAATAATGTGGGAAAAGAGGCTGCCAAGTTTCAAGTGAGTCCTGCCTAAAGAACACGAGACACCCTGAGGATGTAACCGAGGGGGGGCGGGCGGGTCCTAGGGTTATTTTTATCTCTACATTGGTGGAAAATCCTTAGTCACGTGCAAATGGGATGATTACAGTGAGGTCAGACACAGTACTCTGTTTATCTCTGGTGACTGTCTGCAGAGAAAGACTCATTTGAATAAATCTCTTGTCTATACTTTATATGAAACAGCACCAGTTGGTAAAGGCCACATTCCTGGAGCACGCTTCACTGAAAAGCATACAATTTCAAGAGTACCAGAATAACGGGAGACACCCCCTGCCCCGACACACCAGCAACACCATGAATCTACTGAAGCTATAAGCATGGCTGGTCTTTGTGAGGGGTTCCTGTACCTTTAGGCTGGCAACGTGGTCATCTTCACCTGCACTGTTGGTTTGTCTGAGGTGGAGTCTGAAGCTTTCTCTGCTTTACAGGCCGAGTGTTCCCTCTCTCCAGAACTCCCACTCGGAGAAAGCTGCCAAGACATTCCTCTGCCCATTAGCGGAGTCGGGGATATCAGGATTTGCAAGCCAGCTGGAGAAGGTTGATGGCTCTCTGGCTGTTTTGAAGGCAAAATGTTGTGTTATTGTGTAAGAAGAGTATGTGTCGTCCTTTTCGGGTCTCCGAAGTCCTAGGGACTCCGAGTGCTCTCAAGTTGCCCTTTAACTTCTGTTAAAGACTCTCCACTTGGAATCTGGTGTCTCCCATCGCCGGGGTCGTGGTCCCCCTTCCCCTCTAGTTCTGTGCAGATCTGTATCTCAGCAAACGTTTCTTTGTACATGGGACACCACAGAGAGCTTGAGACCCTGGGTAGGAGGCGGCCCATGCCTGTGAGAGCCTCACAGTGTTGTGCCCTTTCCCTGAGGCTCAGGTACACACACTCGGGGCCACATGTCTCCATGTTTCACATTCTGCTTTATTTCCACAGGGATGGGGGCTGCTGCTTTTTATGTGTTTGGAGACCGCATCATACAGTTACAGCTGCAAGTGAAATGTTTAGCTCCTTTAACAAAGGGAAATTACTCTCCCTGCTGACTTTCAGAGAGGAAAGAACTCTTGTAAAGATGGGCTCAAACCGACCCAAGGGGCGAGTTCTCGTTGAACCATAAGTAGTCTCCGGCCTCACAGATCCTGCACCGGGCTGGGGAAGGGAACTCCGTGATCTTAGGGCCAGTTCTCTCTTAACCTGCTCTCCCAGACACAGAAGACCTGGGTATTGACTTTGGCAGCAAGGAACTGGCCCGTTGCCTGCAGCTCAGTGAATGAAATTAAAATCTTGGATGAATGGGGAAAGGGAGTATTTTCAACATTAATAGCAATCAAACAGATTTGTGCTCACTTAGAATAATTGGGATGGCAGAGGAAAGACAGAGCCATTTCCAATGAGCCCCAAAGCACGAAGAAGTGAATCAACACTACAAAGAGCCATGACATTGGTTTATGGCCACCATGGGTGGAAACATTGAACTTCACTCCAGTTTTCCCTTAGTCTTAGTCAAGCCCAGGAGACAAGTCCTGAGTTCCCTGCTGTGTGCTGTGACCAATCTTGTTCCTCTCTGGGGGCTGGGCAGAGCTCATGGTTGATTCCCTCAACAGCTAGACGGGTGCTCGTTTGAACTCGGCCTTAAGAATACCAGCTCACTGTGCTCCCTGTCCTAAAAGGGATTTCTTCAAAACCTTGTTCATGATAGTACCAACATATTTCCTCAGCCCTAGCAATGGATTTGGTACTCTGTCTTGCTCAAGGTGACAGACGTATTGAATGAATCCAGGAAGGCTCATGTGCCACTCTGCTGGGGACATGATGGGAGGGGTCGGGTAGCAGCCATCCATCTGCAGACTCTACAATGGTTCTCATCTATTTCTGCCCCAGAACCTTGAAAATTCTATTGCCTTGGCATCTCAGTTAAGTCTTCCAGACAGCCTCTCACACGAGGAACAAGCACAAATCTCTCTTGTCAGAGCATATCCTACGTTTTGGTTTAAAAAATGTCACTGTGGATTAGCTATAGGGGGGAAAAAGGAAGCAGAACTCCAGCCCTGACTTTTGAGGTGAGGCTGGGCTCTGGGGCTTGGTGGAGTGAGAACAGGGGGCCAAGATAGTGGTTGGCACAAGGACATGGAGAACTCTGGGGGCAGAGCCAGAGCCTCTGAGGACTGAGGCCCAGGAAAGCCTGGCACAGGGAATAGCTGGGTATTTAACCAGGAACACTCACTCATTTTCCCTCAGCCTTGGCAGCAGGTCAGAGCAAGCTGTTCTAGAAGGGTCCACATCCTTCCTATTGTCCCCACCCCGACTTCACTCATCATCCCAAACATCTGCTTCAAATTTGAGCCCTTGCCTCCCTGCCCGATTGCATACTACTAAACCATGAGGAGTGAGGGTGAAGGCATGTCCGCAGGTGTTGGGTAAGGGAGGAGAGAAGGAAGGTTCTGGGTGAATGAAGCTGCCCTGAGTTCTCTTTCAGATGGTAGAGCGGAATTGGAAGTTTGTGGGGTTTTTTGTCTTTGTTTTTGTTTTTAATGCACCTATGCCTCCAGAATCTAGCCAGTAACTTGTTTCACTTCTGGGTAAAGGGAATTGGGGCTAGCTGGGGGAAGGAATTGGGACTAGCTGGGGAAGACTGGGCCACGGCAGGAACTAGTTTTCAGAGGCAGCGCAGCCAGTCCAGTGGGAGCCAGCTGAGGTGGTTAGTGCCCACAGCAAGCAGTGAGGTGCTAATGGGGGCATTAAACACCTCTCCCCGGCTGGCTCACACGCTCAGACAGACACAAGGGAGTCGCAACAGTGAGACTAGCCTGCAGCTGGGTTCCGGGAGGGAAGCAGCCAGAGGAGCTGTCCATCACAGCATCCTCAAAGGTTTCATGAGGCAGAAGCTCTAAGTGTCTCCACCACTTGCCCCCATCTCAGTCCATTGCTAAGTAGCAGAAGATAACCTAAAGGAATTGTTTCAGAGCTGGTATAATAATAGGTGACATTTAATGTGTGTTTATGCCACACAGACCCTGTTCTTAACATTTGACCTGTATTAACTCTGTTCATCTTCACTATGTTTATAAGGTGTTTAGTATTTCCGTTTTGCAGAAGACTGAGGCACGAAGGAGTAATCTATCCAAGGTTACATGCCTATTAGATGAATCTTGGTGTCAGCTTGGTTCCAACACCTCACCTCACACAAGCTCATGTGAGGTGGCTTGGGGGCAGAGAGCCAAGTCCAGAGGATCCCTGCAAGGGATCGGCCAGAGTGCTTGCTGTTCATCCTCCGAGCAAGGTGGCAGACTGTGTGGGCCTCTGATTCCTGGGTCCCTAGGGAGCCAGCCTGGTGGGCATGTCCCCAGCCAATCCTGCCACCCTGCATCCCTGAGACGGCTACTGCCCATTCATGGCAGTGCTTGCATATTCTACTGCTCCTTCCAGGGCTTCGGACATCCCTCCATCTCTCAATCCCCAAATGTTTGGGGAAGAGCCTTAGACCAGTGTCCAGCTCCAGGCCCTTGTGAGAAAGGAAGAAAAGCAAAAGGCCAAGGGCTGGCCAAGCCGTGGGCTGCGGCTTCAAAGCCAAGGGGAGAAGCCAAGTCCATCACTTGGCTGGAAATGTGGGCGCCTCCATGACATACCAGCTCACCCTGGCAATCCTCTCTCGTCTCACTGAGAACAAACCACATGGGCAATGACAGGCCACAGGCCTTTTCCAGTTGTCTTAGAACTCTGCCAGAGCCGTTTTTATGTTGAATCAGACTCTTTTCCCTAAGAGACATGAAGTGCCAGAGAGTGCTCAGGGAGGCCTGTCTGATGGGCCCCCAGATCCTGGGACAGTTCCTCTGCATGCATGGCCGGCTATTGGTGAATGTCTGAACAAGCTCAATTCATGACTTCCACTATGCACCTCCTCGAGCAATGTTCCTGGGACTGTCCGTCCTCAACCTCCAAACCCAGCTTGTGTCAGAGGATATGAAGGGTTAGAGAATCCATGAAAAAGAGTGTCTTGACATTTCTTTTTTAAAAGGTAGGTACTGGTGTGGTGGCTCATGCCCGAAATGCCAGCCAGCATTTGGGAGGCCAGGGCAGGAGAATCACTCTGAGTTGAGGTCAGCTTGGGCTACAGAGTGAATTCTAGGTCAGCCTGAACTCCATAGTAAGACTCTGTCTCAACCCAAAAGGGATGGGGTAGGCATTATATTTTTCTTAGTACTTATGTGTGTGGTGCATGCATGTGTGTGCATGTGGAGGTCAGAGGTCAACATCAGCTCTCTTCTTCCACTGCTCTCCATCTGATTCTTTGAGACAAGGTCTCTCATTGGACTTGGAGATCAGCATTTTGGCTAGATAGGCTAACCAGTGAGCCTCCAAGATCTGTTCCCTTCTCTCCAGCAGTGGAATTATAGACAGACACTGGTGCATTCAACTTTCTGTGGAAGGCAGGAATCCACATTCAGTCCTTATTCTCAAGCAGCAAGCACTCTGCCTGCTAAGCTTTTCTCCCCAGCCTCCTATATTACTTTTTGTGGTGTTAAGGATCAAACCCAGAGTCTTGAAATTCCCAGCGAGTGTTCCACTAGTGAGTTACACTGTGGCCCCTTGTCCTCTTTAAAAAATTGCTTACAATGGTAAGCCAATACCCACAACTTTCTTAGACTGTGTTGAATTTTAATTGAGGATAAGGAACCACGATTACATGGATGGCTGAGTCTCTCACTTACCTAGAAAAGAGCAACTCTAACATGTACTACAATGTACAGTGCAGAGGGAGCCTGAAATGCAGGTGACGTAATGGTGGTGAGAAACGTTCTGTAACCCACGCAAGCGTCTCTGGTTGCTAGCATTGCTCTCCCACTTCTGGTTTCTCTTGGGCTCCAGCCCCGGCCTGTCCTAGACAGAGCTAATTGCTCTTGTCCTTGTCTTCCATTCAGCAAAGATAAACCTGGAATGGTTTTAGAAGAAGAAACTTTGGAAAAGGAAGTGTCGGAAGTGGGGGGGGGTCACCTAAAACAAAAACATGCAAAAGAAGAGGAACACTTGGGCTTGTGGGTACCAGGTACCTCCTGCCATTAAGACCAATGTCAGAAGCCCAGTAGGCTGTTAACTGTAACCATGGTGACCATTTCCAGTTTCTCTTCAGCATCACCTGGATATGCTCTAGGGTCCTCCTGCCACAACTGAGGAGCACCAAGGAAAGAAGATCCCTGAACAGAACAGCCATACTTCTTTTTTACATTTGGGATGTGCCTAAAACCCTCAGACCTTAAAACACTGTGTGTCCAAAATGCACAATAACTCCAAGAACCAGAGGCCAATTTCCTAGGAAGCTTTTGAGGCTTATAGGGCTCCTTGTTCATGCAAGCTGCTCCCAAAGTCAGAATTTTTTCAAGGTCATATATACATTATATACATATATAATTCGTTTGTTTGTTTGTTGGTTTGTTTTTTTGAAACAAGATTTCTCTGTTTGGCCCCAGGCTGTCCCTAGAACTCACTGTATAGACCAGGTTGGCCTCAAACTCACACATATCCACCTGCCTCTGCCTCCTCTGAGCATGCACCACTGCTGCTCAGCAAGGTTAGATATTTTACGTTATTTGCTAATATTTGAAAAAAGAATTGAGGTTCTCAGATTCCACTTTAATTCTACTCTGCCATGCCTTCCTCTGTATCAGGCGGTGATGGGTGGCTCTGACATTTAGAGACTGAAGGAATCTGAATTAGGCATTTTTTTTTTCCTCTTGCCACCTTTATTCAGGTTCTAGGGATCAGACTCGGTTCACCCGGCTTGTACGGTAAGTGCCTCTACCCACTGAGCCATCTCACTGGCCTTCGATTTACTTTCTCTCCCAGGTGTGCCCAACCTTTAACACCATAATGTAACATGGTTATCTAGAAGGATCACCTGTAAGAAGCAGGCAAGCTAGTTACAAAATATATAAATCTCAAAGTTAAGTAAGCTTATGGACTTCCATTCGACTGTATTCCTAACTTTCCTTGGCTGCAGGCTACAGGCTGGACATTAGGCATGTTTTTAAATGGGCCTGCTATAATGTATCCATCCATCTGGTGATATCCGACACTGGAATAATAACAAATGAGAAGAGAAACAAGGACTGAAATGTAAGGAAGTAGAATAAAGTCTGACAAAGTCTTCCAAACCTCAGGTGATCGAAACATAGTAAGAGTTTAGGTTGCCTCAAGCTTCTATAATTTTGAAAGTCATCTTTATGGTGAGAGAATCAGAGAAATTAGGTAAGAAAGAGAATATTTGGAACAAGGAAAAAAACGTCAACAAGTCACAGTTTAAAGGCTGGAAAGTGCCATAAACATCACAAAGACCAGGAAAAAAAAATATCCAGACCAGCCTCTGCATCTGGCCCTTGTCAACTGCTTCTGCCCCATGTGGAAAAGGAGAACTAAGTTCAGCATGGCCTTGGGGTGTCTAGCACCAGAAGGAGGTGACGGTTGTCGGGTATGAATGTTATACTACCCTTTGGTATCCTGTGCCGGTCCCTGGAGGGAGGACACAGAATCCAGAGGCCAATAGCTCCAGCAGTTTCCTGAATTGAGGGCAGAGAGGTATCTGCCAGGCCATGCTGTCACCTTCTGCGGCCTTTGTCTGCACAAGAAGCAGAGATGTCCATGGAGTGAGGTGGCCAGTGTGTTGTGACTGATTCCATACAGCCTTGGGAGAACTGGCCTTGGTCATAGGATAGCTCTACAGGAAGAAGGGCCACATAGCTTAGGAAACACATCCTAAGTTTTCCTTAGGATTTCCCAGTGTCCTGAATTGTGTTCCCCAGGCAAAGATTTAGAAACAAGGGTTTGTGTGAAAGTGACAGTTTCTTAGGAATCTTCCCAGGGGTGGGGTGGGAGGAGAAGGAGGTCAGGCAAGGGTACAGTGTCAGCCAACGAGCTGTGGAGGGGACACGGCTCTGTCTGTAGGGAGTTCTGGAGACTGGGCATTCATCCCTTCTCCCAGAGTCCCTGGGGGCCGCCTGTTGGGGCTCAGGGAAGTAAGCTACCAGGTACCTGCCTGCCTTCTATACAGGTCACCCAAGCAGAATCAAACAGCCAAAGGCAGGCCGCTGACAAAGATGCAGGGCCGGCTCTTGGGAGTGAACTGCATATCCTGCAATACCACGGGGATCTGGGGACAGGTTAGCAGAGAACTTGGCCTCTGCCATCTGCCGTCTCATGAACTAATGGTTTTAGCTGTGTCCTGTGACTACCTCCCACTCTACTGGGTGAAGAAACTGCATCTCAGAGGTGGCTATTGTGACCTCTCTGAGGTCCCCTCAGCGGCAGGGACTCTCCCAGACCTCCCCTGACTGTGATCCAGGTGTCGGCACCTGCCCATCTTCTTCATGAGCAGAGAGATGTGCTTGCTGGTTTACCTGCCACTCAAAACCATGGCCTAGCAGTGTGTGAGATACCTGTGTAATGGAGGCTCAGTGCAGGAAGGATTCCAGAGCCGAGCTTAGGTGCCACACTGAGATCAAGCTCCTGAGACTACATTTTATGATATAGTACAGCCCAGTCCTGGGGACCATGAAGTGTCCATGGGTCCTGGAGCAAATGCTTGCTGGAGAAAAGAACACTCTTGAGCAGAGTCTTGGGGAGTGCAAGGGAGAGGCCCCAGCTGTGTTCTGACAGCCTCCTCACTCACACCCACAGAAGCCTCTGTGAAATGTCCCTCTACACGGTTTCAGTCTTCTGGGAATGGCAACATGCTGTTTTTAGACGATTTTCAATATGTCTCTCAAGTTCTTCTCAAAAGTTGAGTAGCACTCAAGAGTTCAAAATCAAATTTTGAGATGACTGGTGGCCCCTGGAATGTGCTAGAAATGGTCCTGAGGTCTTGTCTGAGAACCCAAGAGGGCTTGCAGAACATAAAGAAAAACAAGACAACTGAATATGGAGCCCAGTATCAATTGGATAAAGTATGTATGCTGTGTACACGCCAGGAACGAGCACGTGTGCCTTTGGAGGCTGGCTGGGGCCTTGCAGGGGCGGAAAGGGAAGGATTGCTTAGCAGTGCAGCGGGGTATACAAAATACACTTCTTCCTGTCCTGCCTGCCCTTCACCCGGGCCTGTGCCCTTGGGAAATAGTGACCACAATACCCAGCTGTGCTACCTCTCTGTAATGCTGGAAAGGATTGGGCCCAAGCCAGGATGGGGAGAGCAGTGTCCCACGGAGCAGAGCGGGGAACCTAAGGATGGAGAGCTGGGAGAGTGCCGGGACTCCTGCAGGCTTAGGAGCTCCAGGCTGGTTGCCACCTGCCCTCCCCAACTCAGACTAAATATCCAGCCCTGAGGGTAAGTGAGAAATTCTTGGCCGCAGCCCGCCCAGGCCTAGCTGGCTTGAAACGGCTTCCTTCAGGGAACTGGGGTCGCTGTCTGCCCTTGGCAGGTTCTTCCTGTTCCTCACCCCGGGGATTCAAGCTGATTGGCAGATTTATCCAAGCATGGAGGGTAGGGGCAGAAGCCTTGGGAGGCAGCCAGGACCGAGGAGGGGGAGGCAGAGACTTGGGGGACAGACAGAATGTCTGAGAGAGAGACAGGGTAAGAGAGGCAAGTGACATAAAGGGACAGGGTAAGGGGGCGGGGGCAGAGGAGAGGGCAGGGAGAGCAGACATGTCTTCTAAGGATGCAAGGAAAGGAAGGTTTCGTCCTGAGTGGGAGGGCGAGAAGGCGAGGGTGACAGCTGGGGCTCCCACAGTGTCCAGGCACAGCCATGCCCATCAGCATTCTACAGCAGAGGGCCTGCATCCCAAAAGGTGGGCCTAAGGCGCTGGAGCAGGCCTTGCAACATCCCCACATCTGCTTCCCATCTGCATCCTCTCTCGGTGGAGTTGTATCCCAGGCCTTCCTGCCAGAGCACAATCCATTCAAAACAAAACGTGGCTTTTCATTTGTAGCTGCAAATCCGTGCAGTCACCCGAAGCTCTCTTGGGTTGTTTGAGGTCTCATCGGCTCCAGGCAGTGCCAGGGTAGAACCAGGCATGGGACTCGGTGGCACAGAGAGAAGGAAAATCTTTGTGGGGGGGGGACAGAGTCCCCGTGGCCCTGACCTGCAAGGGACTTGGAGCCCTTGCTGGGAGGCACCTCACGTTCACTGGACCTCCCAGATCCTGCCTGAGAGGCTATATGTAGTATGTTGGTGACTCAGCCGCCTTGTCCTTCCTCCATCTAGGGAGTGCGATATGAGAGAAAGCAGAGCCCTCATGTGCCACGACTAGTCAAAGCATGATGCACAGTGTCCTTGAGAAATGGCACTTGTGTTATAAACAAGGAATGAGTACAGAGCTAGCCTAGGTGGGTGTTTTTGTTTGTTTGTTTGTTTGTTTGTTTTAAAGATTTACTTATTTATTTACTATGTATACAGTGCTCTGCCTGCAGGCCAGAAGAGGGCGCCAGATCTCATTACAGATGGTTGTGAGCCACCATGTGGGTGCTGGGAATTGAACTCAGGACCCCTGGAAGAACAGCCAGTGCTCTTAACCGCTGAGCCGTCTCTCCAGCCCTGGTTTGGTTTTTCAATGGAAACACAAAGTTGAGAGGCCTGGGATACTTGTGGCGCTCCTGACCTTCTGTCAGGATCGCTGCCCCATCCTGCCACCCATGAACTTTCTCGGCTCCTTCCCTGGGTTCTTTCACCTTCTGCTGCTCTCCCCGAGTCCTGTCACAACCTTCGTCTTCATCTGCTCGTTTATCCGCTCACTTCACCCTTTACACAACCGCTCATTATTCAGCCATCATTTCCTCATTGTTTACTGGGTACCATGTCCAAAGAGGCAAGTCTTACAATCAAAGAAGTTGGAAAACAGCACAAGAAATGTCAACAACCAGTGTATGAGGAAGTGATTTGGACACTAAATGTTTGAGCCCTGGGAGAAGGAGGTGGGAATATTCCCAGAGGACGAGGGAGTTTGGTTTCCCCTAATCTGCCCTTAGGAGATAGCTTTCTAACTGGGCACAGAGGTGGGAGGGCTCAAACATCCTTGAATCTGCCCAGGCCTGGTTACGGAGACAGGGAATGAGGTAACGGTACAGGGGAACACTCTAGAATGGGAGCCTTCTGTGGTTGGGGGCAGCATTCTCCTGCTGGCTGATTGAGAGCAGGCATGGTCCCTGAAGAAGAGAGAGAAGGCAAGGCCACCCGAGGCCAAACTGGGGGCTGGGAATTCATTCTGAGTAGCCTGGGAGGAAGTGGCTTGGGCGGAGCAGCTTGGGAAAGGGCAAGGCAAGCCGGAGAGAAGTCAAAGGTGGGCTGTGAACTATAGTGTGTGTGTGTGTGTGTGTGTGTGGTATGTGTGTGTGTGTGTGTGGTGTGTGTGTGTGGTATGTGTGTGTGGTGTGTGGTGTACATTTGTGACCAAGGCATAGAACTCTGAAGCACTGGGAACAGTAACTGCTCAAGTATCAGTTTCCTAAGGTTGAAGTGAGCTCAGGACTCAGGCATAAGCAGCGGAAGGGAATTTATTGGCTTGTATAACTGAAAAGCAGACCATAGGACAATGTCAGGCCTCATTTCACAGTTGGCTGGTCTTGAATTCCAATCCTCCTGCCTCCGCCTCCTGATTGCTAGTATTACAGGCACAGGAAGAAAAATACTACCATGCCCATTTGCAGACATATTCTTGACTTAGAGGCTTGGGCAAGAGCAGCAGGACTCTTCTCTTCACTCTGGCTCCACAATAATGATGTTGGCTTTGGTCTTCAGGCTAAGCTCATAGGCTCCTTACCATGAGGACCCAGGAAGCAAGTCTTGCTGATGCTGATTGGGTCATGTGTCCTTGCCGTAGCATAATGCAGTGCTCTGATTGGCTAAAGCTTGAATTAAATGGTTGACAAAATCGCTGTTATTCTATCTCCCTCCTCCCTCTGCTGTCTTAAAAAAAAAAGGAGCCAGGCACGGTGGCGCACGCCTCTAATCCCAGCACTCGGGAGGCAGAGGCAGCCAGATCTCTGTGAGTTTGAGGCCAGCCTGGTCTACATAGGGAGTTCCAGAACAGCCAGGGTGTGGGAGCTCAGCTGGGAGACTGGCTCCCACATTTTACAACAGGGTCCTCTTGAGGGGTGAGGGATAAAAGATATTAGATAGAAGGATAGAGGGGAGAGAAACAGGAACACAGGATAGCCTCGAGAGGGCCTGGATCATGAGGTGGAGCAAAAGACCTCCCCCTAGCTCAGCCAAGTGTAGTCCCTTCCTGTGGGAGCCCATTTTCAGGTTCCTCGTGGCTTTACCCAGCAGGTCTGCGTAGAGAGGATGATCGGACCATGGGCCTGAGTGCAGGTGTCTGAGATGGTCTGCACTTGGCTGTGCTGGGGTGGGGGGGGGTGGTCTTTGGCTCCACCCCTTGGCATACCTATAAATACCCTGGGGCAGAGACAGGGCCCGTTGGAATAGGTTCCAGGTCCTCTCAAGGCTATCCTGTATTTTCTGTCTTTGTCTCCCCGCCCCCCTAAATCCTCCTATCTAGTATTTCCTGCTGCTCCTACTCAAGAGCACTCTGGGGAAATGTGGGCGTGGTGGGTAGCCCCCCCACCTTCCAATCACCTAGTAACAATGCAATGGTCAAGCAATCCTCTAATGCAGCTCTGCTGGGTAAAGCAAGCTCAGATCTCACCAGGAAACCTTTGTGGGCCTCCACACCAGGGCTGTAGACAAAACCCTGTCTCAAAAAAAAAAAAAAAAAAAAAATAGAGTTTAGACTATTTCTATTCCAGAAGGGTATAGTGAGGGCGCTCTCGCTATGACAGAGCAATGTCCTCTCTTTTGTTCCCTGCTGAAACCGTAGGGCTCAGTGTGGCATGCTACAGTGTGGATACTTGATAGATATCTACTGAATGGAATCAACAGTACAGGCTAATGCTAGGAATGCCAGACTCCCCAGGTAATAGTTATTGATTAAACAATCAATATGTACCGCAGATTGTCCTAAGCAATTTACACATTTAAAAGTCAGTTATGATTCAGGTCGATGACAAGTGCTTACATTATCACCTGCATTTTAGTTTGGGGAAACTGAGGCACAGGGAGGTCATACAATCGGGAACCTGGCTCTGCTACGTGGACTAGTATGCACTTGCACACTGCTTGGTAGGTGTAGACAGTGCATGTCGGGGTGGGGGGTGAGGTGGGGTCACGGGGGGCGGGGCAGGAAGCGGGTTCAGTCCTCACTTTCCCCAGGAACATCGCCTTGTCTTCAGGTTAGAAGTCTGTCCAGCCTTCCTTGATGGTCCTAGAGCAGTGGAGGCAAGATCCTCTGAGGCATCTGAACCTGTTCTTCCCAGCTGAGAACCGACTCATCTACAGCTCCACGCTGGGGACTGGTAGGACGATGATCTTCCGTATTTGTCTCCTTTTTTCACCTCCCTTCTCTCCATTTGAGCTTTGTTAACAAGACGAGTCAGGAAGTAAACAAGGAAGTTCCTAGCAAAGGAGGAGCATGCTGCAGAGAGACTCAGCAACCCACGTACAGGAGTAAACGGGGAAGCCATTTAAGCAGCAAAATAAAATAATGGTAATGGTCTATCAGGTTATAAGCCACGGGATCAAACAAAGGCCCACAAGACATTACTGTAATAAATACTGAAGTTTTAGAATGAAGAAAGACTACCTTTTTACTAGAATTCCATTAATAAATACAGGGGCTGGGGGAAATTCAAAATCACCATTAGACAAACACAAGAGCAATAAGGGTTTTAGGAAAGAGCCACCAGGGTACGAGGCTCAGTGGAAAACAGTTTAAATGAAGTCAGTGGAGTTGCAGACTCCCCAGATATCTCCTCTGAGATGTTTATTAAAGAGACAAAGGTAGTAGTAGTTTTAGACTGAGCAGGGAAAAAAAAATCAGCAGACACAAGCTTAACCAAACGATCAGGATTACCATCCCCGGTGTTAAGACATACTGACATCTTGTACCCTTTGAGATGGTGTCCTGGGAAGCGTCTAGGACCACATCAGTGGCTTTTACAATAAACAAACAAATAAAGGCAGAACCTCAGTCTGATTAGGAGAAAACATCAGACACGCCCAAGTGAAGACTGCCAAGTGTCTGAAGAGTCATCACTGGAAGAGTCAAGGTCATAAAAGACAAGGACAGACAGCTGAGGAACCATCACAGAGTGTAGGACATTAAGACACTCAACAACTGACATCATGAGGGTTCTAGAGCAGAAAAAGGGCCCCCAGAGGGGAAGCCGATGGCCCTGCAAAGGGTCTGTACTGTAGTTAATAGTCTCATGCCTAGGTTAACTTCCTGCTGTTCATCTGTCAGTTGGACCGTGGCCATGCAAGCCGCTAATATTCAGGGAGGCTGGGTGGTGTGTATGAGAATGCCCTGGGTTAATTCTCGCAACTTTTCACTAAGTCTCCAGTTATTTCAAAATAGCAGATGAAATCACACCCTGAGTGAGTGCTTACTTCTTGCTGAACACATGGGACTTAGAAGCTGAGTGTTTAGACAGCTGATAGGATTAGCCTTGCTTTTAAGTGTTGCTCAGAACTAAGCATTTTTCAGATTACCAGGGATCATCTTCATATACAGATTGTGATCCAGTAGGGAAAGCCCGAGAGTCTGCATTTCTCACACACGTCTCCTGCTGGTGGTCCACAGACCACATGGTGAGTAACGGTGGCATGGTCTGTAGTGGGATTGCAAATTTTGCACATACACAACCACACACACACACACACACACACACACAAAAGGCCCAAGAGCTGTGTGTGGAGAGCTGTGAGCACCCGTGGCTGAAGCCTGGGCTTATCACCTGGATTCTTTAGCAGCTCTGGGAACCCCAGGCTTTGAATGTTTTCTGGCCTCAGCCCGGGTCTCAGAAGTGTTGGCCAGTTCTCTCTAGTCTGCCTCTGGCTACAGCCTGTCTAGCCTGGGCCAAACTGAGGTTCAGTGAAAAGGGACAGGTGCAGAGTTACAGACATACTCAGAAATTCCACTGGTGCCTGTGACAGCCAGGCCTAGGCCTGGGGAGCACACTTGTTCCCCTTCAGACCTCAGCCCGCCAGCAGCGAGCGGCCCAGCCTTCCCTGAGGCCTGCATTTGAGCAGCTTCCAGACAAGAAGTGATAGTGATGACATGTTGCTCCCTAGAGATCCTCCATTGCTCTCTAGGATGTAAGAATATCCACAGACACGGAGTCAGACAACACAGAAAAGGCAAGTTATTTCTACTAATTAGTATCTACATATGTGCAAAAATGGTCATAAGGCTGCAGAACCACTGGCACTTCACCAGTCACTGAAGCCGTGATCTGCAGCGATGCATTTTTGTTCCAAGTGCTTGTGACATCCCTTCTTCATCCAGCGCTCCGCACAGCCACGGGGTTCCCAGAGCATCCTCTCCTCGTGACCTCTCAGTGCGTCTGACGTCACTGTTGGTTTTCATCCCAGGAAGAAGCAGGACAGGCCATCAGGGTCCCTGCAGGTGATCACCTCACCTTGTTTACTGAGACTTCATGGATGGGTTGTCACATATACTCACAAAAAGAGTACAGAGTGGGAAGATGCGCATGTTGACAAACGGGGCAGCTAGGGGTCTGGCTGACAGATTTTGATCACACAAGTGAGATCCCATGATGGGGGTCACAGAAGGTTGGCTGAACCTCTAAGGATGCTTGCCACATGCCAGGTGTGTCTTATGTGAACTTTTGACTGTGTCTGTTGTGGTTATATTATGCAATCAGCTGCCCAGCCTTGAATTGTGTCCCATCCCGTCCACCAGTGACTGTGGCTTCTGTGGGGTTGAAGCGTCTGCCTCTAGTTACTGAGGACTAATGCAGTCTTGAGGCTCATGGGTCCCTCTGTGTCCATTCCTGCTAGGGCACCAAACACAGCTTCATGAAGGCCAGACTTGTAGTTCATATGGAGCCAACTGGACGCTGGCCAGCCCTGCCCCTTGCCTCCTAGGGATTCTTTTTTTTTTTTTAAACATAAAAACAGGTTATAATTTAAAAGTCCAGGGTTATTTTAAACAGTAAAATATTTTCTCTGTAGAAAATAGTATAAATGATAACATTTCCCAATAAGCCCTTTTAAGCCAAATGATAGCTGAATTATACATATAAATGTTGATTAGATTCCGGGATACAGAAGAGATCTGTCTTTATCTGTTCAGAGAGCTATGTTTTACTTAAGTTGTGTAAGTGAGATGCCTATTCATCTTCCCCTTCACTGTTTGATTTACGGCAGACATTTTTCTATAGGCTAATCCATAATCTAAAAAGATTTTAGCCTCCCCTCCTGAAAATACAGCCAGCATATTCTTCCATCAGCTTGATACGGTACAAATTCTTATCCTAATAGTGAAATGTTTCACTAAAGCTTGCCCAGTGATTGGGTAACACCAAAAGTTATTATCAGCCACAGTAATCCCAGGGTCCCCCCTGCTAGGTAGCCTCACCTCCTAGGGATTCTTTTGCTGTTCTGTTTGACCCTGATTCAGAAGACCTGATGAAGCTCCCACCCCCTCAGGCTCTTGAGGTACCGAGTGCTTTCTTGGGTAGACCAGTTGGCCAAGAACGTGCCTCAAAAGAGAAGCATGCTCTCACGGTCTAGGGAGGGGCCATCTTCTGATGTTCCATGGTTGGGTTGTAGTAGACACAAGTATCATTTTCTACCCTAAAACATTTCTCTTTTTCCTTTGCTCTTAAAATTTTTTGTATATGTATATGTGTGTGTATATATATGTATATGTATGTATCACATGCATATCTATGATATACATGCATATGTAGCACGTGGTACACAAGGAGGTCAGACAAAGGTATTAGGTCCCCTGCAACTGGAGTTACAGACAGTTGCAAGCCACCATGTGGGTGCTGGGAATTGAACCTGGGTCCTCTAGAAGAGCAGAAGTGCTCTTAACCACTGAGCCATCTCTCCAGCCCCTCTTTTGTTTCTTTTGTCCTCCTTCCGGGGTACAATAGGACACGCTCCCTCCAGCCATCCTCCCCTCCACCCCCAGCACGATACCATCTCCCTCCACCATTTGATCTTCTGTGTTCTTGTCGAATCTTCACGGACAGCAGGGCAGGGCAGACGGTGCAGGCTTCTGGCTTGACTATTTGGGCTCAGATCCTGGCCCTGGCCCTGGGGAGTTGCACATCCTTGCTGTGTCCTTCTTTCCTATTTTCTGAGCCCAGTTTCATCTTCTGTAAACGGGAGAGAGCAGAAAGAATGTCTCTATCTCGGAATTGCTATCAGGATTAAAAGAGACAGTGCATGGACTCAATAACTGCTCCTTATCAGTAACTACTGATGTTAGCTCCAGTTAAGGCCTTGCTGTGTGCGGCACGGACCACGAGAACCAGGGGACTTGCTGATGTGGTTGAAGAAAGAGGCCTCTAGGTGATGAGCAGGATAATGCGTTGACTGTTGACTGGATGCCAGGCCCTGGCTTAGAGGCTCCGCTCACAGCACTTCAGGCGTTGGGAACTCACAGTTAATAGAATGTGGAAATGCAACATGTCCTGAGGAAACTTGAAATGAAGGACAAGAGGAAGTGCATGGCGTTTGGTTTCCTTGTTTTCTCTTGGCTAGCAGTTAGGAGGACCGTCCGATGAACTGGAAGAGAAAAGCACTCCCTATTTCCTGGGAAAATCTGACCATCAGAAGGGCCGTGGTGCTGGCCTGAGCCCTTCCACTGGGACCTGAGCGGCTCACTCACCTCTTTCCACGAACGGACATGAGGTCTAGAGCAAGACCTGTCACTGGGTGTCACCATCTCTTTCATTTGGGTCTTGAGAGCAGACACAGTCAGGTGTAGAGGCAGACAGGGGGCTTAAGCAGGAGGATTCGAGTTTGAGGCCAGCCTGGGCTACATAGCAACACTCTATCTCAACAGAAACAAGGGGTAGGGATACAGGTCAGGAGCAGAACACCTGCCTAACACACGCAGGGGTTTAATCCCTAGCACTGCAAAGACAGAGAGGAGGGAGGGAGAGAGACTGGGAGAGGGAGATGCAGGTCTGACTCCCAGTCAGTTTGAGTGGGCCAGGTGGCCTAGCGTCTCTGAGCATCATTCTCCATATCTGTGAAGGAAGGAAGGATAACAATCCAGATCTCTTATCCTTAAGGATGAAAGAAAATGATGTGTATTAAGAGCACAAAGGGCTGGGAAAGTAGCTCAGATATAAAGTATTTGCCTTACAGGTGTAGGATCTGAGTTCAGTCTCTACCTACCACCACCATTAGAACACACACACACACACACACACACACACACACACACACACACACACACTTTAAGAAGTACAGCCAGTGGCTATCATTTTCCTTATCCTAGGACCCAAATATTACATTCCTATTAAAGACCTATAATCTGTGTGTGCGCATGCGTCAGCTTTGAGGTAGAACCTTGCTAAGGAGCTCAGACTGTCCTGAAACTCATTTTGAAGCCCAGGCTGGCCTTGAACTTGCCGTCCTTTTGTCCCAACCACCCAAGTGCTAGGATTACAGAAATGCATTTACCATGCCAGGTTTTTATATTTTTATTTTGTCTGTTTCTTCTAAGTTTCTAGATAAGCTGCTTTTACGCCTTTAAGTGTATGTGGTGTGTGTGTGTGTGTGTGTGTGTGTGTGTGTGTGCACATGTGTGAGGTGTTCATGCTGTTCATACATGAGGCCAGAGGAGGTCTCCAGCTCTGTCACTCTCCACCTTATCCTCCTCAACAGGGTCTCTCATGGATCTACAGCTAGGGTGGTGGCCTGCAACACCCAGTAATCCTCCTGTGTATGTCCCCTCTTCCAGCCCTAGGGGGACAGGCCTGTGGCACACCTGGCTTTTAATGTGGATGCTGGGGATTTGAACTCAGGTCTTCATGCTTGAGCAGTAAGCACCCTTGCCCACTGAGCCATCCTTCCAGCCCTCTGGTTAAGTTTCTCTTGAAAAATTCTGACCATGCCTCACTGAGTTCTGGGAAAGTGAGTCTGTCCATCCCAAGAACAGGAAGTGAGGGGCTGCCTTTTGTGCCCAGCCACTGGAAATATGGGGAAAGAGAGTCAACGAAGAAAAACCAAGAAGTGAGCTATTTGGGACTGTGGTAAACAGTTATTTCGTTCTTTTCTCAATCAAGAGTGTCACCTCTTGGTCTTGTTTTCTTAACAAATTATGAGCTTCTTGCTTAGTATCATCCTTTGCCTCAATGTCTGTCTGTAAACTAGGAATAACAATGCCATCAGCTGCGTCAGGCGGTTGTGGGGATTCAATGAGATAATACACAGAAGTGCTGAGCTCCAAAGCCGGGCAAAGACATTCCTGGTCACTATTGTACGGTGTCCAGAATGCTGGCCACATTGCAGGACAAACATTGAGGTTCCTGAATCCTAGTCCCCACCCCCAGGAGCTGCCATTCCAGCCGACTCCCTGCAGTCCACCCAATCCAGTCCTCCACAGCCGCTGGAGGTGGAAGGGAGCTGCAGCTGTCTGCTTGGGGACTCTGAATTCATTCTGGCCCTTAGCATCAGTGTGGACGAGCCAGGCGGCAGCCATGATGAGGAAGACAGCAGCTGGGCGATGACTGCCAGAGGCCCCCGAGCACAGGACACCAGCCGTCCCTCAGAGAAGCGGCTGTCGGCCCAGGCTCTTGGCTCAAATACCTTGTGAAATTTGACTTCCTCTCTCCTTTCTCCTCTTAAAAGAGAATGACCTTCCCATCCCAGGTCCTCAATGCCCACTATCTAGCATGACCTTTAACCTATTAACGGGACTGAGAACGTTTAGAAGCCCCACCATCAGGTACTCCATTTTGGAACTCAAAGGTTCCCTCTCAAGGTCCTTATTTTCTTTCCTATCCCTGTTAGGAGTAACCATGGTGATGTAAGTTTTTATTTCCTCATCCAGTTGTTTCTACACCCCTGAGTGTCCCTCTGTAGCCTCGGGGGATTGGTCCCAGGACCCTCTGCAGATACCAAAAGCCCAAGAAGCCCAATCTCTTCTATCAGATGGCATAGAACCTACTTGAAATCACCTCTGGATTTCTTACAATGCCTAATATAAGGTAAGTGTTAATTAAACAGTGGTTATACTCAATTATTAAGGAGCCATGACAGTGGGAAAAGTCTGTACATATTCAATCCAGATGCAATTTTCAGTCTGTCGATAGTCGAATCCAAGGATGTTGGGTCTGTGGATACAGAAAGCCAACAGTAGCCCTTGCATCCCATTTTTACAGAAAAGGAAGCCATCTCAGAGAGCCCAAGAGCTTTGCTGAAGATCATGCAGCTAGAGAGGGAGCCGCTAGACCTAATTCAAGGTTTCAGATACCTGCTCCCTGTTCTGTGCCTTCTTCCCCTGGGGGAGGGCGGCAGGTGCTCTGTGCTCACAGAGCAGTGTGCCTCATGAGGGCAGAAGGGAGAGGTGGGAAGAACAGAGGCTGTGATTATGCCTGTGTGCCTCAGGCTAGCTTTGGCTGATGAAAACTGCCTTCCAGAACCCCAGAGATTCTTCCTGCAGCTCTTCATGATCTGGCAATTGCCTCTGGGTCCTCCTTGATCTTTAGAACCTTCCTTCCAGCCAGACCTGCTGGGTCCTTGAACATTTGCAGGCTGTGAAGGGGTCTGTAATGCCTGTTCCAGCTGTCTCCAGTCTGGGGCTCTTTACTTGCTGTCTCCAGGCTGGTAGCTGCAGACAGGCCAGTTAGGGGTCTCCAGAGAGGCCAGACCCTGGCTAGTTAGAAGAGGACTGCCTGGGGTTGGGTCAGAAGATTCCAGCCTATTCTGGTAGCTGACAGAGCCTTAGCTCAGACTCTTGAAGATTTCTACTTCCTGGGACTGAAGTTGTTGATCTATCCCAGGCCCTCTTCCCCAGACCCCTTTCCCTTGCACCCTGGCTTTGAGGTCCAGCTGACGACTCTGTTTTCCAGCCTTGACTGTCCTGATAGACAAGTAGTAGCTGTGGTTATCAGGAGGCGCCGCTGTTCCTTGAAGCTTGGGAAAATACCCTGCACTTGACCTTGACCCCCGGGTGAAGAAGAATGTCAAGGCTGGAGCTTGAATGGGGTCTGCTGTCCTGGCAGGCTGCCTGTCTATGCCTTGGGGTGAGTGATGGGGACAGGCAAGGGTGGAGAAGGTCAGTGTTTCTCCCAGCATAGGACTTCAGGGGGTAGCATCTCATCCCGGGTTCCCTCCCCCATGCCACAGCTTTGGGTGGCTGTTGAGACTGTTCCTGCCATTCATGAACTGCTAAGATGTGCAGTGTCCTGGGAACTTGTCCCGACATCATGTTGGCCCTGATGAGGTTGGTGAGCTGGCTGCCCAGAGCAGCACTGGGGTGGACCACTGGTGAAGTTCAGGAATCTTGTCTAAAAATTGTCAGGGCGAACGGGAAAGATCAGTTAAGAGCAGTCGCTTTTCTTACAGAGGACCTAGTTCAATCCCAGCATCCACATGGTGGCTCACAACCATCTGTAACTCCAGTTTCAGGGATCCAACACCCATTTCTGACCTCCTTGGGCACCAGGCACATATGTGATGCACAGACATGCATATCGACAAAACATTTATAAACATAAAGGAAAATATCTAAAAAAAAATTGTAATGGTAAGCAGGGCTGGGACAGTGGTTTTCATTTTTTTGTTTTTGTTTTTGTTATTCTTGAGACAAAGTCTTGGTCTACAGTTCAGGTTGGCCTCAAACTTGTTATCTCTTGCCTTAGCATCCCAAGTATGTACCTCACACAAGGTCTAACTTTAGAATAGTGACTTTTAAAGCTATGTTCTATTACGCCTGTGGTTCCACCAAGGTGCCTCAAAGACTGATTAGTAGTGAAAGGCAAGGAGGTCATGGTGGACCCCTTTTCAGCCACCGGAGTCCCCACGTTTCCTGTTCACTTTCCTGATCTGGGCTGTAAGGCCCTGGTGGTGTGGTCCCTGTGTCCCTCCAGCATCACCCCCACACTGTCTGCTTGTTTGGGAACACAGAGCCCGCCTCCCAGGGATTTTCCTTCTGCTCTCTCTCGCCTGACTCACTCATATCCCTGTCTTTTTTTTTTTTTCTTGGTACCCTTCAGATTTACCCTCAGATGTCTCTCTTTGCCTTTCCTAACCCCAAGTCTGCTCTGGGTCACCTAGCTGCATGCGTCTCTTTCCTACCTCTACTTCTCTTGAAAGTTGAACTAGTTATCTGGGTACTCCCCGCCCCCATCTGTCTTCCCTACTGGACTGTAAGTAAGCTCATGAGGACAGGGACCAGGTCTGGGTTGCATGTCATTGTACCTTCCAACACAATAATGTTGACTGAGCCTGGCGGTGGTGGCGCACACCTTCAATCCCAGCACTTGGGAGGCAGAGGCAGGTGAATCTCTGTGAGTTCGAGGCCAGCCTGGTCTACAGAGTGAGTTCCAGGACAGCCAAGGCTACAAAGAGAAACTGTGTCTCAAAAAACAAAAACAAACAACCACCACAAAAATCTTGGTTGAATTATGGAACACTGAACCAAGTTTTTTGCTGCCAAAGTAGAAAAACCTGCCTCAGTGGTTGAGAAGCTCTCAGCTTTTGGGGCCATTCTGGTTCTGCATTCATTAAAAAAAAAAAAAAAAGTTGCTTCTACCACCAACAAATTGCTGGTGCCCCCAGCTCCCATTAGAACAACTCTAGGTCTTTTGTTGTTGTTTTGTGTTTTGAGACAGGGTCTCTCTATGTAGTCGTGGCTGTCCTGGAGCTTGCTATGTAGACTAGGCTGGCCTCAAACTCATAGAGATCCCCCTACATCTGCCTCCCAAGTTCTTAGATTAAAGGCGTGCACTACCACTGGTCTTAGCTTCTGAAATGCTTAGAGGAGAGTGATGTGGACAGTGTAATGGTCAGAAAAAAAAAATCAAGGCATTCCCCAAAAGACCACCCAGCCCCCCTTTCATGCCTGGAGAAATGGGTGTGCTGGGGGAGCAGGGCAGGGCCCACCCTTCCCACACCTATCCCTATCCACTGAGCTACCTTGCAGAGAGAATGGGTGGGCAACCGTCAGGCCAAGTGACCATGGCTCTCAGGCCAGCTGTTTCCTGGCTCTCAAGTCAGTGGCTGACCCTGTGCTGTCCCCAGCCTGTTCCAAGCAGCCTGGGAGACTTCCAAGCATGTCTTTTACAGGCCAGATGTGCATCCACTGGCTGTGAATTCTTGCCTGGAGAACAGGTGGGTGGTAATTATTCTAGCAGAAGCTGACCGTGACTGGAAGCTAACGGGACAATTCCATCAAGCTGTCAAGAACAAAAACAGTGTTCTCCCTCTTTTAGAGGGAGAGAGCAATGCAATCCAGGGCTAGAGCAAGAGCCTTGGCCCCCGTGGCGGATTCTGGAGAATCCTGGAAATTCTCATACCCCACCCCTCTCATCTCCCTCCTCTCTCAATTGACATCCCATGTGGAGTGAACATCTGCTGTGTGCATATGCCCAGCACTCCTTCTCCTTCTTTGGGGAACAGAAAACCAATTTTCCTTTAGGGAGCCCCACCTCCCCAATTCCATACATTCCTAATGGTGTTGCAGGCCATGAGATGCTTCTGTCCCTCCACTCCCAAAGGGTGGACCCTGCACTCATCAGAATTCCCTGAGAACTTCGAATCTGGGTGGGAGTCACTACCAACCACCGAGGCTTAGCACCATCCAAAGACAGATGGCTTATGGTTGCTTGCCACCAGAGTCCCGGAGCCGCCCTGGTCTCTGGCATTCCCAGGCCTTGGGGAGCGCCTCCCTCAGTACTCTGCATCTTCCCAGTCCATTCCTACCCCCGCCCCATTTAGCTCGCTAGAGCCAGCTTCTGTAACTTGCAGCCAGAGCAGCCATGCCTCGCACTCCGTTGTATCCCAGCTTCCAAGTCCTGCTTTTCTCTTCCTCACAGTTCATCTGTAAATCATTTTGACTCCCTATACCCCTAGACCCTCCAGTTGCCTGCCCAACATCCCCCCTGCCCCCCCCCCCCCCAGGAAACCATCCTCATCCGTCCTTTCCACTATAGAGTAAATAAAAACAATTTTACTCTTCTGGGGATAGTAACAGGGAAGGGGTGAAAGATATTTCAGGTACCCTGATACAAGCCCTGGCCACATCTCCCTGGATGCATCAGTCACTTGTATATAACGGGAATTGCTTGGTCCCAGAACTGGGTCTGCAGAGCTGTTTATGTCTTTCCTTCAAGTGGTGTCCCCTGATACTCATTAAGCTTTGTTCATAGTGGAGTTACTGGCTTCAAAATTCTGATTCAGAGGGCTGAGGAGACGGCTCACTGGTTAAGACCACTGGTTCTACTGGGCAGTCATGGTGCACGCCTTTAATCCCAGCACTCAGGAGGCAGAGGCAGGTGGATCTCTGAGTTCAAGGTCAGCCTGGTTTATAGAGAGAGTTCCAGGACAGCCAGGGCTATACAGAGAAACCCTGTACCCTGTCTTGAAAATTTTTTTTAAGAGCACTGGTCCCAGAGGACCTGGGTTTGATTCCCAGCACCTATATGGTGGCTTACAACCTTCTATAACTTCAATTCCAAGGGTTCTTCTGAGCACCAGACATGCACGTGCTATACCAACATACACACAATCAAAACACCCATACACATAAAATAAAAATAAGTTAAAAAAAAAAAGGGGGGGGGTGGATCCGATTCCATGCAATGGAACACCTATAATGTATAAGGTCCTAAGCCAGGTGTCTCAGATAACTGATATGCTTTGAATTCTGATTCAGTCTTTTTCTCCTCTTGGGGTTGGGGTTTGAACTCAGGGCCTTGTCATTGCTGAGCACACACCCTACTGTGGAGTTACCCCTCGTCTTGTTGAATAAACAGAGCCTCCTACCATGCCTCCTACTTCCACTGAGTGCTATGGGAGAACTAAGCCACCCTCAGGCCACAAAGGAGGGAGGAAGGTAGGGAGGATTCAAGAGAACCAGAATTTAGACAGCAACTGTGCTCAGCTCCAGGGACTCCTTGGGCCATGTCTTTCTGGGGGAGCTGCAAATTGGATGATTCCATTGAAATGTTTATCTGCATCAGAGTCAAGTCATGGGAGAGAGTCTAATTGGGCCAGCTTGGGCTATGCGCCTTGTGGCAAATATAGGCAATGGCCACTCGTTTAAAGAACTAGGAAACAGAGGGGCGGTCTGCTGAAGGGAAAGGAACGATTGTCTGAGAATAGGAGAGGCGTAGTGGGGAGACGGCACAGCCCAAGGTGGTCGTAGGCTAAGCATCGCACCCCAGCCCGCTGACTGCTTTATTGCCTGGATGGGGCTATTCTCATAGCAACCACAAGCTGAACCGAGGGCTGTAAACACTGAAATCTGTGACTGCCAGAGGGCTGAGTCCCCTCATGTTACAGCCGGGTGAACTGAGGCCAGGCCTTTGTGTCTCTGGTCTAACCTGCCTCTGGCCTGAACGCTTCACTACCCTGGTGCTGGAGAGATGGTCAGATTGGATCTATAGGCTCTGCTTCCGGTAGGAACTTTCCATACAAGCAAGAAGTGGGAGGGTGAAAGTCCAGATGGAAGCCATTGGGAGGGTCACCCCACATGTGAGACAGTAATGGGCATGCACCATAAATATTTATCGAACTGCCCTAGCTGCACCCTGGTGCTGGGAGGTAAAGCTGTCTCCCTTATATATCTAGATCACCCTGTCCAGGGTCCAAACGGAAATGCTAGTCTGAGGCTTTGGACTTTGAGCTCCAAAGGGAGAAAACGCCCGTAGGTGACCTGCTCCTACATAAACACAAGCTCGTCCCAGATCTTTATTTGGGGTGGCGCACAGCTCTTGGCTCCGTGAGATTTGCTGGATTGTCCCTGGGTCTCCCAAAGTTTCTCCCATGGTCTGGGGCAGTCATCACAGAGAATGCCAGGTTCTGGCTTCCTCCCTACCCTGGGCTCTTGTCCATCAGTCCTAGCCAGAGCCCTGTAGATCCAGACAAGCCCTGGCCCTCTTGGTGTTTACAGTCTGCAAATACTTGTGGCCATTTGTGCTGCCCTGGGGAGGGGGCGGGGCGCGGGGAGAACCCATGCCTTCTGCCGTCATTCAGCCCAGCTTTTGCCTCTGTTCAGTGTCTCTTCTCATGGCTTCCCTGGAGCTTCTCATCTCCCTAAGGTTACCCAGGACCCCTGAAACTCCTGGACCCTTCTGACTGCAACAGAGTCCCTTGACTTCTAATGCCTAACTCCCAGGAGGTCTATCTCAGACTCCTCTGAGCAACCCTCACCTTCTACATTCCAGCTTCTGCTGAGGACGCCGGATCGGAGGAAGGGATGGACCCTCTTGCCGCTCTGCTTGTTTTCCCCTGTCCTGCTGGTGCTGGGAAGAGCTTTCCTTTGCTGCCCTTTACATGTTGGGCAATTTCCACCTGCTTTCAGCACATTACTGCAGGTGTGACATGGGCGAGGCCTGCCTCCTTCCTGACTCTGAGCTCATGACTCTGCTCTCCTTGGGTTGGTCATTTACTGTGGCTTACCCAGCTTGGTACACAGATATAGCCTCCTGACTTCCCTGACACCACTCTACTGAAATCTCTCTCTCTCTCTCTCTCTCTCTCTCTCTCTCTCTCTCTCTCTCTCTCTCTCTCTCTCTCGAGTCTTACATACTCTGGCTCTCTGTCTGGGGTCTTTCTGCTTGGGCATTTTTAGCTAACATGAGCCAGGATGAAGGTCTACAGGCAGGCTTTGGACAGGGTGAACAAAAAGTGCTGGTGAACCCCCCCCTCCAAGTCTGGACGAGTTCCCCTCAAGCCATCATGCCTGCCCTTTGTCTTTTAGGGAAATATTAAAATCATCCTAGATTAACAAGAGTTCAACCAGGATTTTTAGATACATCTGCCTTCACCTCACTTTGAACAAGGGGAAATATCATGAACCTTTTTTTACCATGAACATCTCTTACTGCCCTCATGCCCCTCACACACTCAGATGCTAATCCTCTGTGAGCTGAAATCTTTCCCACTCAGTTCCAGTCAACACGCCTTAACACTAGCCTCAGTTACAAGAAAACCACATAGAGACGATGTCTTGGTAAACATGGAAACCTGATAAAGTGCCCTATGTCTCCTTTTTCTCTGGGTTGAGGGGCTTCCAGACCTTTCTTCTTGGGTTCTATATATTGCCCACCCTGGCTGCTGCTTCACACCTTCCTTTGGGGTTGTCCCAAGTTTCCTGACTCCTGTCTGGAACTCCAGGGCTGAGCCGAGCATTGCAATCCCTCTGTGGGCTGTGAAATCACTGAAGTGAGTCACGACCGGCATTAAAATGCAGAACAGAAGAGAGGTAATAGAAAGCATGAGAATATGCCTCCCAGTGAACAAGGACGCCTCATTTCAGTTATTATGTGTCCCTGTGTGTCCAGCCATGCTGTAAGATGGGCTTCCTGCTGTGAATTGTGGTTAGAAGTTTGAAAAACACTGCTTTCAGCTGGCCTGTGCTGCTGGTGATGTTTGTGTATGGGACGGTTACTGTTCACTGTCAACTTGACGAGGTCTGGAACCAACCTTGGAGGGAAGCCTGCAGGCACACCTCTTCTGGATTATTTAGATTAGTTTTGGTTTGGAGAACTCCTGCCACGGATTATCTTGATTAGGTTATTGGAGGTGGGAGGACCTGCCTTGAAGGAGGCCCACATTGTCCCCTGAGCTTGGTTCCCGGACTGCATAGAACAGATGATGAGCAGAAGCACTCATCGTTCCTTGCTTCCTGACTTCAGATGCAAAGTGACCAGCTGCTACAAGATCCTGCCGCCATGACTCACCTGCCTTCAAACTATGAGCCCAAATCAATCCTTTCTCCTTTAAGTTGCCTTTGTCTAAACATGCGGTCCCAGCAAAGGAAGAGTAGCTAGCCCACGTGGCAGTGGCAATGCCGTCATCTCCGACTCCTTGGGCCCTGGGACTCTTTCAGGGTACAGCAGAGAAGGCAAAATGGAACAGCCCGTCCCCCGGGAGCATTATGGGGTGGCTGGTGGGGAAGGCAGCTGGTTCCACGGCTCCTGAAGTCTTTCTTCATTGTAAGGTTCTGCTGAGGCTCCACCTTTCCACTTACAGAGGAAGGACCTGTAAAATATTGGAACTCTGTAAATGGGAGGATCCAGGTCCCTGAGGCTCATATGAACAAGGGCAAGAACAAACTTGTAAGGCTGGGTATTGAACCCTGGCCTCAAGCATGCTAGACAAGGGTTCCGCCACTAAGCTGCACACCTAGCCCTGGTTCGTTTTTTGTTGTGTTTTTTTGTTTTTGTTTTTTTTGAGACAGGGTTTCTCTGTGTAGTTTTGGTGGCTGTCCTGGATCTCGCTCTGTAGACCAGGCTGGCCTCGAACTCACAGAGATTCGCCTGGCTCAGCCTCCCAAGTGCTGGGATTAAAGGTATGTGCCACCACCACCCGGCTGTTTTTTGTTGTGTTTTATTTTATTTTATTTTGTTGTTTGTTTTTAGACAGGTCTCACTATAACTCTGGCTGGCTTGGGATTTGCTATGTAGACTAGGCTAGCTTCAAACTCTCAAAGATGCACCTTCCCCCGTCTCCTGAGTGCTGGAAGTAAAGGCATGTGCCACCACACTTGGCCTTAGTTGTCAGCCTGTTCTGACTAATGTAAAACCCAGAACAAGGGAGTTTCCTTCTTGCCCAAGAGTCTACAAACACTTGTGTGTAGTCAGAATCTGCTCACAAACAGTTTTCTTCTCTGGCCTCTCAGTCCTTCCTCTGGGTTGCATTTATCTCCATTTGGCCACCTCCCCTTAGACATGTCTCTTATAATATGCCATTATTATAGTATAGTAGTGTAAAACTTCCATTGCATCTGGATAGTTTGGAGAACACTGTCAGTCTCTGTGTTCTGAGGCCTGAAGGCAATAAAAGAAGTACTAGATCCATTAGAAGGTGTCCTTATTTTATTTATTTCTTATTTATTTATTTATTTATTTATTTATTTGTTTGTTTGTTTGTTTGTTTGTTTGTTTGTTTGTTTTTTGAGACAGAGTTTCTCTATGTAGCCTTGGCTGTCCTGGAACTCGCTCTGTAGACCAGACTGGCCTCGAACTCACAGAGATCTGCCTGCTTCTGCCTCTGGACTCCTGGGATTAAAGGCATGTGCCACCATACCCAGCTGCTAGTTTATTTTTAAACCACTGGTTAACTAGGCTTTCTCTTTTCAACAGTCTCTGTAACCCCCACCATGACCCCCCCTCTCCCCTCCACCAATTTCAGGTCATTTCACATGACTGGCTATCAAAGCAAACTTCTCCCACTCTTCACTTAATTACTGACCTCCTTGGACCAAGATGCAAGGCTTTTCACTTATCTCTATTGACTCTCAATTTATCTAGTTCAGTTCATATCTTATTTTTAGCATCCAATTTTATCATTTATTCCTTCAGTTCTGTGTCATGTGAAAAATCCAAGAAAAATGCTTTTCCTGCTCCCTAATTGTGAGAAGTCTTATGCTGGTCCCCACCCCATCTCAAGCATGAGCACAGATCTCGGTGCCCTGCATCCATCCCTTGCTGTGGGGGATAGGTACCTGACAGCTAATCATCCTCTAACAGCATTACCAAGGGCCTCACATCCCTTCAGACTATCCATGTCAAGTGCCATCTGAGTATCACTAAACCGTGGCAGCAATTTGCTGACCAGGAACCCTGCTGAAGAAGGAAATGATGGATCTGGAAGGATGGTTCAGTGGGTAAAATGTTTGCTTCACAGCCTAAGTTCCCAAGTTTGATCCCCAGCACCCGTGTTTAAAAAGCTAGGTGTGGTGGTACGTGCCGGCAATCCCAGTGTGGGAGAGGAGACAGGAGGACCCTCAGGCCTGCTGCCAGCCCATCTAGCCAAATAAAAATAGAAGAAATAGGGTGTGGTAGGGCGTGGTGCTGATTTTCACCAGCCTGGCTCTGGTGGTCACTGGATGCTTCCTCCTCATCCTCCCTCTTTTCCTTCTCCTGGCCAAGACCTCCCAGCCCAGCTTAGAGACTTCTCCAGAGTCTTCCCTGGCCAGTCACCCAATATTCTCGGCCACGGGTGAGCGCTCTATCCTTGAACTCATGTACTAAGCAATCGTTGCTTCTCTTCTACCCTGTAAGCACAGGGGAGGGGGTGGGGAGGAGGATTAGGGGGGTAGGGATTATCCTCAACCTTATTCTTCAGCGTGCCCACTGAAGGGATGCTCAAGAAACAGTGGCTTGGGGGACTCGCTGTGCTGCCCATGGCCTGTCAGGCTTAGCTGTCTTTGGAGTGAGGCGGTGAGGGAAGCTGCAGAGTGTGCACAACCGCCAAAGGCGTGACACAGTGTCAGCAGGAGCAGGTGAGATTGCAGAGGGACCTGCAGCCAAGCAGGAGTGAGACTTGCTTGGGCACGGGAGCCTGAGATTGAGTCCCCAAAAGGGGCCCAGTGGAGAAGTGCGCAGGATGTGGGTCCAAAGGTGCAGAATCAGCGTCCAGGATCCCGGATAGGGGTCCAGGATGCAGGATGTGGATTTAGACAGGGTTTCCAAGGGAGAGGTATCTGGGAACAGGCTGAAGAAGAAAGGGACACAGTCTGGGTGTTGGGTCACCACTGCAGGAGCCAGAGGCCAGGCCACCCCGCAGCACTGGTAGCTCTCCCTGTTTCTGTAAACCTGGGGAGCCCTCCGTGGGGCAGGCTGGTTGGAGGCAGGATCGGGCTTGCTTTGAGTATGGCAAGCTCCCTGGCTTTGTGTCCACTGGTGTTTATTAGGATGACTGAGTATGTTGCTGGAGATTAAAGACACCCAGCGTCTTCCCCACCAGCACCGACTCCTTACTATTTACTGGAGACGTCCAGAGGCGGTAAGAGCCCAGATTAACGGTCTGCGCACTCCATGGATGGCTGGTGACTAGGATGGGGAACAGGTCCCTTTTTCTTTTCCTTTTTTTTTTTTTTTTTTTTTAAGATTTATTTATTTATTATGTATACAGTGCTCTGTCTGCATGTATGTCTGCAGGCCAGAAGAGGGCGCCAGATCTCATTACAGATGGTTGTGAGCCACCATGTGGGTGCTGGGAACTGAACTCAGGACCTCTGGAAGAGCAGCCGGTGCTCCTAACCTCTGAGCCATCTGTCCAGTCCTTGTTTTTTTTTTTTTTTTAAGGTTTATTTAAGGTCCCTTTTTCTGAAAGGAGACTGTAGCAGGCTTTCTTTTGGGCCACCAACCAGCTCCCACATCATGACACAGAGACTTATTATCAGTTACGAATGCTCGGGCCTTATCTCATGCTCTTACAACTTAACCTGTTTCTCTTCATCTTCGTTTGCCTGGGGCTTCTTACCTTTCTCTCCTTCTGTATGTCTGACTTGCACTCTTCTCCTGTCTGGCTGGTGACTGTCTGGTTTCTGGCCCCAGTGTGTCCCTCTCTTTCTCCCTTGTTCTCTCCTCCTTCTTCTTCCTCCTTCTCCTGAGCCTAGATTCCTCCTCCTACTCATCCTCTCTGCCTGCCAGCCCCACCCATCCCTCTCCTGTCTAGCTATTGGCCGTTCAGCTTTTTATTAAACCAATCAGGTGCCTTAGGCAGGCCAGGTAAAACAAACGCAGCACATCTTTACATCATTAACAAAGGCAGCAGAAACAAATGTAACACACTTTTACACAGTTAAAGTAATATTCCGTAGCCTAAACAACTATAACGCATCTTTACGTAGTTAAATATTCCACAGCAGGAGAGTGCTAGAGTTAAGACCTCTGTTTATTGACCCGAGCTTACCAGAAACACTCCCTCATCAACCCCAACCTTGGATGGTTAGCAGTTTTCAGGAAACCGTTAATGTGTGTTAATTCCCCGGTTGGCATGCTCACCATATGTCATTGTGACTAAAGCACCCAAGGGAAAAACTGCAAGGAGCGAAGGTTTATTTGGGTTCACAGTTTCAGATGGTTCTGTCAGGGCCACTTGGTCCCATGCACTTAAGCAGATCACCGTAGCGGCTGGAACATAGGACAGAAGAGGTTCATCGCCTCATGGTAGGTGGGAAGCCAAGAGAAAGGGGTGGAGTGGGGAGGGACCGGGGGCAATAGATATAATCTTCAAAGGCGTGCTTCTAGGAACCTGCTTCCAGCTAACCACCTCCTCAAGTTTCCACAACCTTCCCAAATAGCACCACCCGCTGGGGACCAGGTGTCCAGCACATGAGCCTATGGGGAAAATTCATATTCAGACTAATACTTACCAATGTACAGAGGGTGAAGGTGCCCTAGCTGTCTGTCCCCAGTGCCTGGCATGGTGCCTGGTCCTCAAAAACTCTGTGGAGTGAGAGGGAGAGCATTGTGAGCCTAGTCGAATGGGTGGAGCTTCAGACAGAAGCAGGTGTGTAGGGACATCTCAGCGTGCCTGAGGGAACTACTGCACTTCAGGAGATGCAGCCGTAGGCAGAAGTTTTCAGCAGCAAGACAGGAGTGGGCAGTGTCAGTGGCCGAGCTCTCCACGGAGAGCCAGAAATGGGGCTGTTTCTCCTCTGTCACCACAGACCCTTCCCTGTCTCTTGAAGAGTGGGATGCTGACAGCTTATCTCCGCGGTGTCCTCTCTGGCCCTTCACCCCTCTTCTCCTCCAGCAGCTTTGGCACATGTACTCCCCAGCAGAGAGATTCCCAGGCCCTGAGGCCGCACTCTGACGTGCTCGGCGACTCCTGGCCTCCCATACCCAGACGGTCAAATCGCTCCCTGCTTTCCCTGGGAGTTGAAAGAGAAAGAGCTGAAAGGCTTGGGAGTCAGGAGACCCTAATTCAAGGGCTGGGTGCTGCCAGAATCAGTCATGGGACCTTGGACAAGCTTGTCTCCCTCTTTTGGGCCTCAGTTTCCTGAACTGTAAGTTAACAGCCTTGGCTGCTTAGTCCCTTAAGGAAGTTCGCTCCTGCAGGCACGTTCTCTGAATCCTACAGTTCTTGGCTCCATAGTCCTTGTCTGTCTACTCCTCAAATATAAATTTTAGTGTTGACAGGGATTTGAATTTGTTTATCTATAGAAAAAGCTGAGTCCCAGGGAGTCGGGGGAGGGGCAGGTCAGGGAGTCCCATTAGAGGCAGATGCAGGATCAGACCAAGGATGTTTGCTTCCTGGAACCATCTGACTTTGGCCTGAACTACCTGGAACCGAAGAGCTTTTTGCTCCCAAGCCGCCCAAGTGTTCTGCATGGTTGGCACGGGGTGTGGGGGTCTTTAGTTGTCTTCAGAGCATCAGCTCAGGGCTGTGTACCTGTAGCGCCTACAACACGAGCCAACTAATCTAGACCGCGCCCAAGCCTGGAGACCCAAGCTCCAGCCTCCTCTGTGTTAGTGACTAGCCAGTCACTATACTTCTCTGGTTTTATCGTTCTCTGGCTATATGACCACTGCTGGAATGTAACCTCTAGAGAACAGAGACTGGCCTGCTGTATTTCAGAGCCTTGACTGACGCCTAAGTCAAATTCTCGGAGAGAATATATGATCCATCCATCCCACGATGTCTGTATTTGAGTCAGACCATAGAAGTCTTAGGTCGCCAATCAATCCATGAAGACACTGCTTTCAGGGTGGCAGCTCATACCTGGTTCAGTCACTTGTGGTCTGGGCTGTTGTGTCACTGGCAATACATAGCTGCCTTTTCTAGGAGCTGTGTATAGAAAGACATCCATTTGGTCTCTGGTTTATTGGGGAGGAAGCTGGCTCAAAGAGTCGCTTAGCTCATGCCGTGAAGCTGGTAAATGATTATGTGGAGGTTAGCTCCATGTTCTTCCTCTCCTCCGGTGCCAGCAGCCGTGGACTGGAACGCACAGGGCTTAATGAAGAACTCTGAGAGCCGTAGAGGCTTGGTGGAGGCAGCAAGCTTTCCAGATGGAAGGAGCAATCT